GGGGTCCCGGGGTCTCGGCCGGCTCCCGGCTGAGGTCGGCTCGCACGCCCTCGCTGGCGTCTCCGTCGCGCGGGCCGGAGGGGGCTCCCGCCATGGCGACGTCCGGCATCAGTTCCTTCACCGGGGCTTTGGCACTCTGCAATCAGGGGTCGAACGAAGAACCGCACAGTCACTGCACCCCATCGTTCATAATAATAACAACAACAACAATCTTTGCGTCTGACCCGGCGCCTGATCGCGTCTGCGAGACGCCTCAAAGCGCTCCAGCGGGACGGGCTGTGAAGTGGAGCGACTGTGTGTTTTGTGGGCGGAACGCGGCAGCCGATGGCGCCCGGCGACGTCCCCACAAACGGCCGTGGATTGAGCGAGTCATTTTTAAAAAAAAAACAGAATTATTACCCCCGGAAAAGTGATCCGGAGGCGGGCGGGCGCGCGTGTGTGTGTGTGTGTGGGGGGAGTAAGGAAACTTGCCCAACATTTCGCCCCGACCCAACCCAACCGCCCGGGAATCGAACCCGGGTCCTCTCGCATGCGAGGCGAGGGGTCTAACCCCTGAGCGACAGGGATGCCACGGTTTCCAGGATGAACGATTGCAATCGGGTGGGGGGGGGGGGGACTGACTCACAGTTGTCTGGTCCTTGGACGCCATTCGACTCTCCTTAGGAATCCGGATGGTGGCCTGTAGGACCCGCTCAGATGTCCTCGGGCAAGGCTGAAGCTGCAGGTGAGAGTGCAACACGCAGCAGGCCGGAGCCTGGCCTTCCAGCTTCCTCTCGCTGGTCTGTGTGCGCTCTCTCCTGGGCGTGGGAGGGGGGTGGTAGGGCGGGGGAGGCGGAGGGAGAGGGGGGCTGAAGTTACGGAACGGGTCCAGGGTCAGGACTTCGGTCTCCTTGACCGGAGTGGCTCGTCGAGAGCTCGGTTGTCTCCTGGTGAAGACTGGGCTATCGGCGGCCAAATGCTCGTTCGGAAAATAGACGACGGGATACTGCGGAGAGAGTGAGAGAGAGAGTGTGAGAGAGAGAGAGTGAGAGAGAGAGTTGAGACATCGGAAAGTTAGGATTAAAAAAAAAAATCCAACTTTTCATTTCGGAGACTTTTCCCCCTTTTCCATTTTAATAAGAGATAATCTGCGCATTTGATACAGCGCTTTCTCACATCTTCGAGACGCCTCAGAGCGCTTCACAGAAATATACTGTAAAGTGTGGTGACTGTATTTTATCATTACCCCCGGAAAGGTGATCCACCGCTCGACTAACGACGGGTTCCTACTTACAGATGGGTAAGCAGCGATGTGTACGTGTGTGTGTGTGTGTGTGTGTGTGTGTAAAGAAATTTGCCTAATGTTTCGCCCCGACCTGACCCGCCCGGGAATCGAACCCAGCTTGCGAGGCGAGCGCTCTAACCGCTGAGCCACAGTACTCCCCACCGTGTAGGGGGAATGGGTGTCGTACCTTCAGCAGTTCTGTAGCTGAGTCGGGAAGGCCGAACTCTCTCACCACTCGTAGCTGGATGATGTGGGTGATGGTGGCTCCAGCCCCGAGGTTTAAGGTGTACGATCTCTGCACTTGATCGCTGTGCCTCAGGTCCTTTACCCGAGCAAACATTGCTCTCACCTCCTCAATCGGGGGGACTGGAGAAAGGTAGACCAGGTGTTAATCGGACGACCGGATTGATACGGCGGCTTTCACTCTTTAAGTATGGCTTTGCGGAGATTATAATCCCCTTAAGAGATAATAATAATGTGGTCGCTCCATCCACGGCTGTTTGTGGGGCCACTGCTGTGCGAGATTGGCTGCTGCGTTTCGCCCACAAAATACACAGTCGCTACGCGTTACGGTGTATTCTGTGAGACGTCTCGAAGACGCGATAAGGCGCTGTATCAAATGCAAGGATTATTATTATTATTTCCAGGGAGAGAGAGAGCGTGGATTCCAGCCCAACAATCTATCGTCAATCTCCGCGCGGAGGTGGGATGCGTGGAATTCTCACGGTTTGATTTGGAGACTCTTAAGCGAAGGTGATGGGTTTCACGGGGCTTCACAGGATATACTGTAAAGTGTAGCGACTGTATATTTTGTGGGCGAATTGCAGCAACCAACTGCGCCCAGCGACGTCCTACAAACAGTCGTGGATTGAGGGGTTATTATGAATTATTTTTATTTATTTTGAAGGGAATCGAACCCGGGTCCTCTTGTTTTTTTTAATAAAAGAAAAAAAAAAGTCCTGTTGTGAAGTTTTGAGTAGATGGTGGTCTCCTCTCTCCCCCCACCCCCACCCCTCGCCCGTTTCCCGGGATACGCGGTGAGGAACGACGGCCACAACTTACTGGGGATCTCGTCGCGGAGAGAGACAGGCACTCGCTCCTCGAAGCTGTGCGGGGAGCCTGCGCTCAGGCGGGGGAAGTCGGTGATGGCCGAATCCACCATGTAGAGCGTGTCGGGAACGCTCGATATCCGACTCACTCGCACCTTGTCCAAACTCGTCTGCTCCGACATCAGATCGTCCAGCACAGCCTGAGTACAAACGCACTCTGTCAGGTCTGTAACCGATTCATCAGAACAACTTCCACCTTCCGTCTGTTTCCCTCCGGGGTCCGTTCCACACATTTACTGCTCGCTCACTAAAGCAGCATTCCCCCAGATTTGTTGTGAATTCCCCGCCCCCCACCCCCCCGCCGCACCCCTTCGATCGCAGTCCGTGTCCTCTACCGTTCAGTACGAGACCACCTTCGTCTTTCTTCTACATACCTTGGCTTCCTCGATGTATGGTGTGAAGAGACGTGGTTTGGCCCCGATCCCCGAAGCCTTCAGACAAAACCAGACGCGGGATTTCCTGCTCTCCGGAGTGGGAAGCATGTCGGCCGGTGGCGAACTGATCAGCCCCCTCTTCATCTGCAACGGAAATGGGAGGAGTTTTTTTCTTCTCGCATTCGATATAGCGCCTTATCACGTCTCCGAAAAGACTCAAAGAGCTCGACTTTCTCCCCTTCCCGACCCCTCTCTCTCTCTCTCTCTCTCGGTGTCCTGGCAAAGAATCCCCCCAGGTAAAATTGGTCGCGTACTCCAACGCTGTTTGTTTGTGGGGACGCTGCTGTACGCAACTGCTGGCCGCCGTGCGCCCACAAGAAACAAACGTAGCGCCACTATGCTTTACAGTGTGGCCTGGGAAGCGCCTTGAGACGCCTCAAAGAAGCGATGAGGCGCTGTGTCAAACGCAAGGATAATTGCCATTAATATTACTACAACCAAATTACGTTTGGAGAGCCAATGTCCACATCGGGAGGACAACCCAAGGCTCTGGGGGGAAAAGAGACAGAGGGGGTAAGGGGGGGAAAGGGAAAGGTGGGGGAAAGAGAGAGAAGTGGGGTGGGGAAGAGGGGGGGTGTCGACCCAAACCTGCCCCACCTGTATAACTCACCGAATCAGCCAGGACCTCGCTCTTGGCCGGGAGGACGTGAGCGATGCGAATGTGAGGCACCAGCTCGGCGATGATCTCCCGCAACTGTCCCGCGTCCAGGTCGCGTTTCTTCACCCCGCGCTTGGTCACGCTGTGAGCCGTGCCGCTCAGCACGTTGGGCTCTGCCGGGGCGGGTCGCGCAAGAGGGAAAACGGTTACGAGGAGAAGAACAAACGATGTGGGCCGCACATTACACAGTCACTGCACTTTAAGCATATCCTGGGAAGCGCTTTGCGACGTCTCTAAGACACGATTGTATCAAACGTGAGGATTATTAGTAGTCGCCCCGGCTCAGTGGTGGCGCTCGCTCTCTCCCCACACTCCCCCCTCTTTCTCTTTTGTCTCCGAGTCAGAAGGTTGTGGGTTCAAACCCCACACGTCAGGGCTTAGAATCACACAGTCTGAGCTGATGCTCCAATGAAGCGCTGGGGGGGGGGAGTGCTGCGTTGTCAGAGATGCCGTCCTTCGGATGGGACAACCTCCCTCCCTCCCCGTCTGTGCCCTGTTCAGGTGGACGCTATTCTATTCGGAAAGAGAAGCGAATTTCTCTCTCCCGGTGTCCTGGCCAACAATCCCCTTGAATTAAATTCGACGTGACATAAGGCGTTATATAAAATGCAAGGATTATTATTATTATTATTACTATTGTTGGGGCTCACCTTCATCCGACAGACGCTTTGCAAGTTGGTGCTCGGCCCATTTAATGACCGCCTTCAGGATATCGTTTTCACTGGCCTGTCAGGGAGAAGAGAATACAGTACAACAACAACTCGCACTTATTACAGCACCTGGAGCATCCTGGAGCGAACTGGGAGTCGCAGCTGGAGGAGAAGTTGACCCCATCTCTGGATGACATCGCCGAGGGGAGAGCGGGGGGGGGGGGGGGGAGAGCATGGCGATGAAGAAGGGAAGAGGGCCAAGGATGGAGCCTTGGGGTACCCCGCAGGCGACTGGGATGGGGGCGAGAGGAAAAAACACTGGTCGGGGTGGTGTGGGAAAGGGTTTGAGGTTCCTTCGTGGAGTTACCTGCAGGTAATCGGAGCGGATGGCTTCGACCAGGTGTTCCTGACTGAGCTCGAAGAGAATGTCCGAAGCCACCACGCTGCTGAATTCCTCGCACAAGAAGTGCACAACCTGCCGCCGAACCCACTTGGAGCCGTAGGGCTGGGAACTCCAGCGCAGGATGCAGATCAATGTGTCCAACCGCACGCTCTCCGCAATCAGGTCTTCACAGGCTGCGGGAGAGAGAGGCACAGAGCTCAGGAAGAGACACAGAGAGCGAGATAGAAGAGAGAGAGGGAGAGTCAACAGATAACACAGCCACTACACTGAACTGTGTGTGTGTGTGTGAGTGGCCGGGCAAACGGCCCGAGTGAAAATGTGTAAATCCCTGATTTTCCAGCGGCTTGGGACGTCCTCCTGACGTGAAAGGCGCTGTGTAAATGTCATTTGCCGTTAGTGCTGTGTGGAGCCCCTGTAGCTCAGGGGTTAGAGCCCTCGCCTCGCAAGCGAGAGGACCCGGGTTCGATTCCCGGGTGGGTCAGTGCGAAACGTGGGGCAAGTTTTCCTTACTCCGCGTACGCACACTTCTCTGTTTACCAGCGGTCATTAGGAACCCGGCTGTTGGTCGATTGCCGGATCGCTGTTCCGGGGGTAATAATCCCTTTGAAAAATAATGTTAATAATAATTTGCTCACTTCGATCCACCACTGCTGGCGGGACACTGCTGTGCGTAAATGGCTGCCGCGGTTCGCCCCACAAAACACACAGTCAATTCACTTTACGTGAAGCGCTTTGAAACGGCTCGAAGACGTGACAAGGCACTGTATCAAACGCCAGGATTATTAATATGATGTGAGGTGAGGATGATTCTGACGTTGGTCCCTTTGCTGCGTCTACTTTAAACACGAATACAATGAAATATTTCTGAAACAGCGCAATTATCATCAGTCTTCCACACGTTTCAGTTGTTGGTCGGTGCACTGCAGAAAAAAAAACATACACAACAACAACAACTTGTATTTATATAGCGCCTCAGACCGCTCGACAGTGGTGGAGACGGGGAGAAGAGGTGACCGTAGGCACGTAGGGTCGAACAGGAACGTCTTGAGACGCGAACTGAAGATGGGGAGGGAGGGGGGGGGTGAGGGAAGGGGGTTGAGGGAGGGAGGGGACAGATTTTCGGGGCGTAGTGGCTGAAAGCGTGGCCAGCGATTGGTGGAGCAGAGGGCTTGAGGGACGAGCAGGAGGCCGGAGCCAGTCGAGCTCAATACACGGGATGGGGGGGGGGGGGTGAGGGGAGGGCAACAGGACTTTGTGTTCAAACAACAACAACTTGCATTTACGCAGCATCCCAGAACGCTTCCTCCAGCGGAGACGAGGAGAAAGCACGGCGAGCACAGCCAGCTCACCTTGGGCCATCATGTCGAACTCGATGAAGAGGGCGATGTGGTAGAGCTCCATGGCGTTCTCCAGGCGGGTCTCGCCACCGCCTCCGCCTTTCCCGGCGTCGCCCTGTGCTTCCCGCAGGCTCCCGGACGAGGGGCTGAAAGGCAGGAGCAGGGCCAGGTCCACCAGGTCCGTGTACATGCAGTGCAGGATCACCTTGGCGTAGCGCTTTGGGATGATGGCCTCGTTCAGGACGATGCGGATGGGGGCTTGCGCCCCGTCCGCGGACCCCCGCAGCCGCTTGCGGAGGAGGTTGCGGAAGAAGGGCGAGCGGGCGCACAGGATGGCTTTGTGGCAGCGGAACTCGGGATCGTGACCTCGCCCCTCCCAGGGCTCTGCCGCCCAGTCCGGGCTGCTGGTGAAGCTGAGGGCTGCGTCGCAGTAGCAGGAGCTCTGGAGGAGTCCGTGGATGTCAAAATGGAGGGCGTTGGGCATGCCGAACTCCTCGCTCAGCCTCACCAGCACGTCGATGTTCTTGACGTGCGCGTCCCGCACCCGGAACTCCCCGCTGTACAGGTAATGCAGGAGGGAGGAGAGGATGGGCACGTCGATGCCCACCGTGCCAATGTCCATCACCAGCTCGGCCCGCTCCAGGCTCGAGGAGAGGAGAGTCCTGAAGAAGGGGCAGCGGGCGGCCAGGATGGCCCGATGGACCGGGAAGCAGGTCCCCTGAAAGATCAGGTCGACGTCCGTACAGTACCTGAACTGGTAAAGTTTGGCCAGGTCTTGGTGGATGCGGCTGGCCTCCGGCCTGGCAACGCAGGCCTGCCTGGCCAACTCCTTGATGCTCAGAGCGGCTTCGTACTGTTTGACCAGCAAGCTCACATCACGGACATCCCAGCTGCACAGCAGATCACGCATGTGCTTGGCATGATCAGCCGACTTGGTGGATTTCCGACGGCGGAAAAGCTTCTTCTTCAGCAACAACAGGTTCGAGCTTCTCTTCTTCTCTCCAGCCCGTTTCTCCTGACCGGCTCCGGACACGCACAGCTTCCCCTCCAACTGACATCGGAACGGAGATTGCGAAGGTGACTCTGGAGCGCGGGGGAGACAAGCCATCGGTCAATAACACTGGAGGAGTCTCCCTGTAGCTCGGCGGTTAAGAGAGCTAGTCTCGCAAGCGAGAGGACCCAGGGTCAATTCCTGGGTGGGACAGGTCAGGGCGAAACCTTTGGTAAGTTTCCTTACTCCACACAGACACACACACCTCACAAGCACAAGCAGCGTCCCGCAAACAGTCGTGGATTGAGTGACCAAATTGTTGTTATTATTTTTGGAAGGACTTATCACCCCTGGAAAGTGATCCACCAATCGACTAACAACCGGGGTTCCCAGCGATAGGTCAGGGTCATGTTTTACACGGTTCACAGAATAGGCCGCAGATGCCAGGAAAGCCAACGAAATGTGGCAAGTCAAGGCGGCACAAGCTGCCAGCCCTCTCTGCCCATCAGTGCAGAAGCCCAGATGAACAGCGGCACCACCCAAGGGCGCTTTTGCAATCGCCCAGGCTACAGCTGGTCTGAAACTAAAATCATAATAATAATCCTTGCATTTGTTATCGCACCGAGAACCCCTTCAAAGCGCCCTGGAGGATTCACGGCAAAGTATAGTGACTGCATGTTTTCCGCGGCAGCCGATTGGGGCGCAGCAACCAATTAAGTAAATTGGGATCCACTGCGCAGTATTCTGTGAAGGGCGCTGTGGAAATGTCAGTTTTTGTTGTTCATTCCACTGTGACCCAAGTCACTGACTCCAAAATCCAGCGATTTCTCATTTGTCCCACACGACAACAACTTGCATTTACACAGCGCCCTTCACGTGGGGCAGAGTCTCGGAGGGCTTAACCGTGACGGAGCACAACGCTGAGACGGGGCGGGGAGAGGTGACCATGGTCGAAAGGGAAGGTCTTCAGGTATGCTCTGAGCATGGGCAAGGGTGGAGGGGTGCGAGGCAGAGGGGTAGAGGCAGGGAGTTGCAGGGGTCGGGGGAGTGGATTTTAAAGAGGGGATGATGGACGTGCAGGAGGCAAACAAGGAGCTCACCACGGATTCCATTTGAAGAAGACGTTTTCACCCCAGCTGTCTGACATGATGGGTAAGGGTAGGCCGATGCATTAACACCCATTTTCTTTGAACACACATGGCAAGAATCTCTTTCACGTGTGCCGCTCCCAACACGCAACAAGGAGACCTCAGTACGGGTTCAAGCAAGCTTCCTGCGGAGAAATCAATGCGAAACGCGGTTAACCCTCGCCTGGGACCGACCCGGCACACTATTGTCGAGTCTAGCGCCTGCGTGTTTTGGAGGCGGACGTGGCGGTCGATTCGCGCAACAATTTGGGGGGATTGTTGGCCACGACACAGAGAGAGAGAGAGAGACCACTTTTCCAATAGTACTGCAGGATCTTTAACGTTCACCCGGACCGGCAGGTGAGGCCTCAGTTTGAAGAACAGCACCGCTGACCACACAGCGCTCGGCCCAGCCCTGCACTGAACTTTATGAGTTCCGTACCAACTGAGCTGTGCTGATCCTAATCAGCTCCGGGACTCCTCCCAAACAGCACAGAGCAGAGCTCAGCGAAGTCACTCACGACAAACAACAGTTGGGTCCTGTGACTTAGTGGTGTTAGGGATCTCACCTCACAAGCGAGAGGACCCGGGTTCGATTCCTGGGCGGGTCGGGTTAGGGCGAAACTTTGGGCAAATTTCCTTACTCCCCCCCCCCACACACAGACACAGACACTCAGACACACACAGACACATAGAGACAAATACACACACACAGAGACAGACAGACACACACACAGAGACAGATACACACAGACAGACACACACACACAGACAGACACACACGCAGAGACAGACACACACACACACAGACACACACACACAGACACACACACACAGACACACACACAGAGACAGACAGACACACACACAGAGACAGACAGACACACACACAGAGACAGACACACACACACACAGAGACAGACACACACACACACAGAGACAGACACACACACACACAGAGACAGACACACACACAGAGACACACACACAGACACACACACACAGAGACAGACACACACACACAGAGACAGACACACACACACAGAGACAGACACACACACACAGAGACAGACACACACACACAGAGACAGACACACACACACAGAGACAGACACAGAGACAGACACACACACACACACACACCTCCATTTACGCGGCAGTAAGTAGTTTGTCAGTTGACGGGCGGATCGCTTTCTCTGGGGGTTGGGGGGGGGTTTGAGGGGTAATAAACCAACAGTATAAACCCGTCGGTCACTCACTTCACTCGCTGTTGGTGGGGAGCGGCCGCCGGGGCGCGTCTCGCCCGCAAAGCGCACAGTCACTACACCCGCGAAGAGCAGCAATGGCTGAACCGCGACCCCCTGTCCCACACACATTGTTTACCCGCCACACAGGAGGGAGAGGTCCCGCCTCTTCCCTCCGCCCCGCCCCCTCCCCATCACTGCGCCACCATTGGTCAGCCCGCCCCGGTCACCGCCCACTACCCCTCTCCCCCAGCCGCCGATTGGCCGAGCGGCGCGTCGATCACCAACCGCCGCCCGCCCTCCCCATCACTGAGCCACCATTGGTCAGTCCGCCCCGGTCACCGCCCACTACCCCTCTCCGCCAGCCGGCGATTGGCCGAGCGGCGCGTCGATCACCAACCGCCGCCCGCCCCGCCCCCCCGCGGTCGCCCATTGGTCCAGCTCCGCGTCGATCGCCGCCTCCCCAGAACGCGGATTGGTCGAGCTCCGCGTCGATCAGCGCGCGAGGAGGGGGCACGAGAGGGGGGGGGAGGAGAAGAAGACCCCGCCCCCCCGTCCGTCCCCCGCCCCCACCCCCCACCGCCCGTCGGTCGGGCGTCGCGTCCGTTCCCATCGCCTCACACGGTGGACACGACAACAACCGGGGAGACCGTTTCCCCTGAACGCGCCCCCCCGCCCCCGCCCGGGACCGTGTGCGTTCCCGCGGTTTCATTTGAAAAATAACGGCCAGTGAGGCCGCGCGCGCGGGGAGGAGGAGGGGGGGGGAGGGGAGGGGGAGTCAGAGCGTCGCCGGGTAGCGAGAGGGGGAGTGGGGGAGGGCGACCAAACGGAGACCCAGGCTTTTCGGGCCTGTACCCACATTCTCTCCCCCCCCCCACCCACCCACCCCCAGTCCGTCCCGTCACTCACCTCCTTCGTCCTCCTCGCCGCCGCCGCCATCATCGTCGTCGTCTCCTCCTCCTCCTCAGGGCCGAGAGCGCGCGCGCGCGGAGCGGAGCCGCCGCCGCTACGGGTGAGTAAATTTTTTTTTCTCTTCTCCTCTCCTCTCGCGGCCGAGATTTCCTACTCTCTCTCTCTCTTTTTTTATCCCTCTCTCTCTCTCTCTCTCCTTCCTTCCCTCCCCCCCCCAACACCCCCGAACCGTCTGAGGCCTTCCTCTTTTTTTTTACTCCCCCCCTTCACTCTCTCTCTCTCTCTCGCGGCTGCCGCTGTCGCCGTCGACGCCGCCACTTTTTTTTCTCTCACTCTCTTTCTTTCTTCCCGCCCTCTTCCGCCCCGACGTCGGAAGCCGAGCGGCCGCGCGCGCGCGCGGGCGGGACGCGGGGCGGTTGCGCGCGCGCCTGCCTTGGGCTGGATTGATTGACGCGGCCTCTCGGCCAATGGCGTCGAAGGAAAAAGGGGCGGAGAAGGCGGGCGGGAGCGGCCGCCCCCCGCCGCTGATTGGTCAACCGCCCCGTCGGTCACCGCGACTCCGATGGCTGATTGGTCAGTCGCCTCCCCTCCCCTTTACCGTGGAGGGGGGGTCGCCGCCCCCTTTCCGGCCGCTGATTGGTCAACCCGCACGTCGGTCGCCGCTCGCCTATTGGTCAACCTTCCGCGTCAATCACAGCGTCATCAAGAAGCAAGCCCCGCCCCCTCCCCTTAAAGCGACAACAACTAATAATAATTGTTATAATAATGTAGTAATATTTACTTTATGAATATAAATATTTATAATCGATAATAATTTATAGATATAGAGCGCTCAACGTGGAAGCCCTTAAAAGTCGCCTTATCACGTCTTCGAGACGTCTTCACAGAACATACCGTAAGGTGTAGTGACTGTATATTCGGCGTCGCAACGCGACACCCCCACAAACAGTCGTGGGCTGAGTCGCCGAATTGTTACATGTTTGTTTTGAAGGGATTATTACCCCCGGAAAAGCGATCCGCCACTCGACTAACGGCCGGGTTCCCACTGACTGCCGGTGAACAGAGGCGCGCGCGTGGAGTGAGGAAACGTGCCCGATGTTCCGCCCTGACCCGGGGGTGGAACCCGGGGTCCTCTCGCTTTCGATGCGAGTGGTCTAACCACTGAGCCGCGGGGCAGTAGCTACGGATACTGACTCACCAACCTGCGGAAATAATCTCTCCCTATCGACTATTGAAACCCCCCCCCCCCCACCCCACCCACGATTTAAAAGATGACTCCCCTCCTTTTTTTCCAGCAGAAAAAGCTCCGTTTGTTGAGGAGTTTGTTTATAAAAGCGCGGGGAGTTAGGGGTTGAGGTAGATTGCTACGTGGGCCAAACTGTCTGCTTGTTGTGATGTCTGTGATCCTATGAAATTAAAAACTCTCTTCAAAGTGGTTTGTGTCTATCATTGTCTGCATCTGAACCACAGGACATAATAAGCAGAGAGGGCGCAGGGGGGGAGCGGTGAGGTGTATTTGATGTTCACCCAAAGCTTCAGGAAACAAGTCCCAGAGCCGTACTTAGACAAGTCAGAACTTGAGGATAAACCTACTTAATTGTCCTGGCTGAAGGAAAATAATTTGAGATGATTCATTCAGTTGCTTAAGATATATATCAGCCAGGCCCCGCTGGGAGCACTCTCTACCTCACCTCTGAGCCAGGAAGATGTGGGTTCAAGCCTCCAATACAGTGTCGGGTGGAGGGGGGGGGTTGCAGGAGGTGGCTGAAGATTTGTCTCTACCGGTTCGGTTGGACTGGGGCACTATTTGAAAAGAGCATTGGGGGGGGGTTCGCTCTTTCTCTCGCCCGCCCCCGCATGTCCCAGTTGTCCATCCCGCAAGTTAAATTGGTTAACTCAGTTCGTGGCTGTTTGCGAGACATTTATTAGGAGAACCCGACAGCCAGTCACTGCACTTTACAGCGAAATCCCGTGAAGCGTCCTCTCGGGGTGAAAAGCCGCTGCATAAAACGCAAGGCTCACCAAACGAGGCGATGTCAATCGGGCAGTGTATCTCAAGGACGTAAGCACTCGAGAATAGATTGGTGAATCTGAGGGACGGGCCACCAGAACCTGGCTCGCAGCAGGGAAAAGGGCAAAGCGGAACAGAATAAGCTTCAGGCCTGTGACGGCTGAGCGAGCGAGCGAGCGAGTGGAATATTTCATGCCTGACAAAATGTCCTGACCGCTCCCGCAGCTTGATTTACTCCAAAGCACAAACGGTCCAAAGGGCGTGCTGTTGGTGTCCTGGCTGATGCGAGAGATTGTCTCACTTCGCCGGAGCGAACAGACCTAAAAGTCTACAATAACAAAACCCTTGCACTTGATACGATACAGCGTCCCCTGTCACGTCGTCGAGAAGCCTTGCGGCGCTTTGCAGAACATACCGCAAAAGCGAATGGACTGTGTGTGTGTGATGATCCGATCGTTTGCCGGTGACCCTCACGCTTGACCGTTCACAGGCGAGAGGACGTCTCAAAAGTGCTTCTGCAAGATTCACTGCGAAGTGTAGTGACTGCGTGTTTTGCGGGCCAACTGAAAAGTCACCTATCACAGCAGGACAGATAAGGAGGTCAAATTGGCCACAGACCAGAATTGTCCTCTGAAATTCAGCAACACCAAAAACTAAATTTTTTACTGCAAGCGAGAGGACCGGGGGTTCGATTCCCAGACAGGGCGAACCCTTACTCCACACTCGTCCCTCTGTTTACCGGCAGTGAGTAGGAACCCGCTTGTCAGGCGGATTGTTTTTCCGGGGGGTAATAATTCCTTCCCCCCAAAAAAATTAGGGGGCGATGGCCATTCACACCAACGACCAACGACGTTTGCGGGGCACTGCTGTGCACAATCGGCCGCCGCGTTTCGCCCACAAAACGTACAGTCACTCCACTTTACAGTGTATCCTGTGAAGCGCTTTGAGACGTGGTAATGCGCTGTATCAAAGGCAAGGATTGTTATGGTATAACCGGGGTCTGACCTGGGCCGATGGTCTCTGTGTCTGTGAGGAGTTGTGTTGCCCGGATTGTAGGACGTTCTCTCCAGTCTCCGTGAAAGTGACTGTGAATGGAGGGAGCGACTGAGAGACGAGCACAACTCCTCGGAAAATAGGTCATCGAGGTTTCTGCTCTGAGGATTGCTGTTTGCTCTGTCCACGCAAGAAAATACGAGAAGGATGGGTTTCGAAGTTTATTAAAGGCTATTCCTTTATTTCCACTCTCCTTTCTTTTCCTGTTGACTTCTTCTCCGGTCCCCTCCCTCCGCTCAGCCCGTTCCGCGTCCCCCCCGTCAGCGCCTCGGGACGTCCTCCCGACGTGAAAGGCGCTCAATAAATGGAACCTTGTTGTTGTTGTTGTTGTTGTACCCCACAATCGGGCCTTCAACCTCTCCGCCCCCATCCTTTGGAACTCCAACCCACAGTCCCCACCCCCCCGCCATCTTGCTCCGTCACTCGCCTCCTTCAAGACCCCCCTCTTCGACCGACAGCGCCTTCGGTCACCCCCCACCCTCCACCCCCCTCCTGATCCTGATTTGGAGTCCTGTAGCTCAGTGGTTAGAGCACTCGCTTTGCGAGTGAGAGACCTGAGTTCAATTCCAGGCAGAGGGCCAAACCTTGGGCAAGTTTCCTTACTCCACACAGAGCCTAATAATAATCCCTCCAAAACCAAAAACAATAATAAATTGGTCATTTTCTATCTACGACTGTGTGTGGGACATTGCTGTGCGCAATTGGCTGCCGCGTTCGCCCACAAATATACAGTCAATTCACTTTACAGTGTGTTCTGTGAAGCGCTTTGGGACGTCCTCCCGACGTGAAAAGCGCTATATCAAATGCGAGGATTATTATTATTATTATCCCAAACCCCAGCTCGGGTCCAAACCCCCGACTGTCCAGCGCCTTGGGGCGTCCCCCTGACACGGTGAAAGGCTCCGCGTAAACGTAACGTGTTAACGGAACAGGCGGACATGACCCGAGGTTAGTGCCTTAGCCAAAGGACGGACGGAACCTGCTCTCAACGCATCAATGCCCCCCCCCCCCCCCCATCAGTGGAGGTTTTGGACAATAAACTCGCGGCCCCGTTCCTTGGCTCGAATCCGTAACCTGTCCCGAGGCAAGAAAGCTGCCGACTGAGCCAAGCTGACACACCGAATCAGATCAAGCGGCGAGCTGTGCCGCAGTGCGCGCGTCCTGAAGCCATCCGGCAGAATTATGCCACGGTTTATTTTCCTTTGGCTGAATCCGCGACGCGAGCGGTGCAAGTGATTCGGCTGCGGGCGGGCGCCAGGAGAGCGGAAACGTCCGGAGCCAGGACCGGGGGCCCGGTACCAAAAGGAAAAGCTCCGCAGGATTTCACGAACGAGGACCACCCGGGAAAACGGCAGCGAAACCTTTGCGGGGGGAATCCGGCGCCGTCCCATCCCGTTCTTCCGCGCAGGTTCGCTGGGATGCCAAGTGTTTCCCGGTTAATCCAACCTCCCTTCAGCTTTAGCCGTGCCCCAGGGACGTGAAACTGACACCCAGTCACCACCCAACGCAGAGTAAAGTCATATAACATACACTCATCGTAGCTTCGGTAATCCTTCCTTCCCCTCCCAGCGCACGACAACAACTTGCCCTTCATGTGGGATAGCGCCCCAGAGCGCTTGACAGTGGCGGAGTCTGACCCCGAGCCGGGAGGGGGGAGAGGGAGTGGGGGAGGTGATCGTGACGGTCAAAATGGAAGGTCTTTAGATGGGATTTGGAAGTGGGGAGGGAGGAAGGGGGAAAGGCGGAGGGATTGAGGGAGAATTTCGGGGCGTAGTGGCTGAAGGCACGGCCACCGATGGTGGAGCGGAGGGGGAAACGGGGGGCCGGGAGCCAGCTGAGCCGCGGCAGCGGGTTGGGGGGGGGGGGGAATGGGGGCAAAGCAAATCGGGGAGGGGGGGGGGGGGGGTGTGCGAGGGCTTGAAGCGATGTGAAAGCGAGCGAGAGGATCCTGGAAGATTTCGGCCGCGTATCTGCTGATGCAGCGCGAAATCCGCAAACTCCCGACTTTCTGGGACGCGGCGACGCTATCAGTTGCGTAATCGAGCGCTCGAGAGGCGACAAGAGGAGGGCGGCCGGAATGATTGGGGGGGGGGGGGGGACCGGAGCGATCAGATAAAACCGGGCACGTTCCCGCTGGAGAAGAGAGGGTTTGAGGGGGCGACACGACTGCGCGGTCTTTGGTCTCCGGAGGGACCGGGAGAGGGTCTCGATGGCGCTAAGCCGTTTTATCTCGCGGCGAGCAGAGGACGCGGCCTGCGATCGAACCGGGGGGCGGGGGGGGGAGCAACTACAGGGCGGTGGAACGAAGTTGACGGGACCTCGGTCACCTTTCGCCGACGAATTCTTAACGTCCGAGCGGCAATGGCGGCGGAACCCGCAGCGTAAGAACCGACAGATATCCGTTCGGGCAAAGACCGCGCCATGATTTAATAATCCCCGGGTTTTTTTTTTTTTCCCCGTCCGAAAACATATCTCGTAGGCGATTTGCGTACAATAAACAGAGGGGAATCCTCGCTCTCCGCTCCCCCCCCCCCACCCCCCCCCCCCACCCCACCCCACACACACACACTCACAAACGGGTCAATTTATCTGTGCGATTGTCGACCAAAACACTGGGGGAGAGAGAGAGAGAGGGGGAGAGGGGGGGGGGGTGGGGGTGGGGGTGGGGGGGGAACGTGTCACAGTAGCTTTCAAGTCTGCCTGAACCGGCAGCTAATAATAATTAATAATAATAATAATAATAATAATGCTCGAGTTCAATACAGCGCCTTGTTATCACGTCGAGACGTCTCGAGAGGATTGCACTGCCAAGTGGAGTGACTGTGTATGTTGCGGGCGAAACGCGGCAGGATGGCCTCGGCTCCGAACGCGCCACCCGCCGCCAGAGCCGAGCGCCGCAGCAGCCTCTCTGCCTGCGCCGCGAGCTCCCGAGTCCAGCGCGGCGCCCGCGCGGGGGGGGTGGGGGGCTCGAGCCCCCCGCCGCCCTCCTCCGAAGTCGGGGAGGAGTGACGGGAGGAAGACTTCCAACGCAGCGCGATTCGGGTCATCGCAGCGCTCTAAAGCACCGGGCCCCGCGGAACCACGGCACGGCTCGCCCGCGGAACGCAACGCCCATCGCCCCTTTCCCCCCACCGTGGAATAATTCTGGGGGGGGGTGGGGGGGGGAATCGCCTGATTTTTCCCACCCCACATTTTGGGGTCCAAAGCACATCCTCTCGTAACGATCGCCCCCTTTTCGCGCCCTCTAACCGGACTGATTTCGGGTTCGATAAACTGTTTTTTGGGGAACAGAAGAGTCGAACGTAAAAGTTTGACCGGAGCGGCCGATTAGGATTGCGTCGCCTGAACTCACGTCACATCAATAATAATAATAATAATACTAATACTACTAATGCTAATGATAATCCTTGCGGTCGGACACGGCGCCTTAACCGTGCCTTCGAGGCGTCTCAAAGCGCTTCCGCGGGCGAAGCGCGGCAGGCGGATTGGTGCGAATCGGTCGGGTGTTGAACCCCCCCCCCCGCGTCCTCCCCCCCCCCCCCCCCCCGCGTCCTCCCGACGTGAAAAGGCGCTCTGCGAATGTAACGTGTTGTCGGTTAGCGTGTCTACGTGCGTGTGTCGAAATATACTGAAGTAACCCCGTGTAGAACATTGCTTGGGTGGTGGGGGTGGGGTGGGGGGGGGTTGGGGGGAAGCGGAGGGGGTCGGGGGTAGTGTAAGCAAAATGGACACGAGCCGAAAGACCAAGGGATATTTTGCTATGGTTCTCCCCGTCTCGTCGCTCGCTCCTCTCTATGCTTTACCCCCAAAATATCAAAGGTGGGGGCGAGACAACTGAATCTCCTTCTCTGAATGGGAATCTCTCGACACTCGGTGGACACCAACCCTGGTCCAAGGTCCCCCACACTTCCCGCTCCACCATCGGCCGTCGGTCAGGCCCCCCCCCCACCCTCTGGAACTCTATCCGTCAATCCCTCCGCCTCACCCCCTCTCTTGCCTCCTTCCAAGTACCATCTAAAGACCTTCCTCTCCGACCGTGCCTTCAGACACCCCCACCCCCTATGCTCTCCACCCCTCCTGATCCCAACTCCCAGCTCGGGGTCAAAACCCCCCCGACAGTCCAACGCCCTGGGACATCCTTCCAACATGAAGGGGGATATACCAATGTGTAATTTGTTGTGGTTGTTGAGAAGGCCTCATTGGAATGGTTTTATTTGGCTCTGGCCCCCAATTCTCTCTTAACACGATCCTCTCCCCCCCCCCCTCAAACTCAGGCCTAATGATTCCCGGGAACAGTCGGTCATTTTGCCCCCCAAATACTCAAGAAATAATCTTCCTACTCTACCCTTCCTCCCCACCCTCACACACGCATCGACTGGGGAACACGCGGACAGAGTTACAAGAGAAAGAGGACACCATCACTTACCCAGAGTGGAACATTCCTTCCGAGGAATTTTGTGAGTCAACTCATTAACGACACTCCCGTTTCCCCCTCCCTCCCCCCACCCCCAACCCCCCCTCTCTCTTTCTCTCCCAATCCGCCAACCTTCCCAGAAACAAATACCATAGGATCAACGTCTGGTCTTGTGTGTGCGTGTGTGCCTGTATGTGCGTATGTGTGTGTGCGTGTGTATGGGGGGGGGGGGGTGGGGGGTGGGGGGAAAGGTCACAAAGAAACAACGCTTTTTCTAGGACAGACCACGAGATGGGTTTGGATGAGGAAGGACCTTTGATGGACCAAATCCCTTGGGTCTTCCTTTTGCAACATCAAGCGGTTTCTTTATGCGCCCGAGGCTTCTTTCAGGCCGGGATGGACACCTCACTTTACACACTGGGGCGGGGGGTGGGGAGGGGGTGGGGAGGGGGTTGGGAATGATCAAAGAGGCCACATGGAAGCGGGGTGTCAGGTTAGGAAGAGATTGACAGAGGGTCGAAGCTGAGGGTTTTGAAAGGGACATGATTTGTGGGTATCGGGGGGGGGGGGGGGGAGATGGGATGGGATGGGACGGGAGACTGAGACAGTGGAAGAGATTTGAAGATCAGAATTGAGTAAATTCAGGACAAATCGGGGGCGACGCTACTTCAGGGAGCGAGCGGTAAACGTGTGGAACGGGAGGGAGGGAGCGAGACAGACACACAGACACACAGACAGACACACACACAGACAGACAGACAGACGGACAGTACAAGCAGAACATGTCAATCGTTTCAAGAACAATTCCATAAGATTTCTGCTAGAAAATAATATCGGGGGGGCCGGGGCGGGCGGGCGGGGCAGGGGGGGGGGACACGGTATACAGTTTATATAGACATGTCAAGCGACTGCCAGGATGGCGGGAGGCCGACTGGATGGACCTCGGTCTTCTTTGGCCGGCAGGTTCTTATCATCTCACGTGAGAATGGGGACCTTGTTAAAGGCTGTGCCACAAGCAAGAACTCCTCTCCCCCTCTACCCCCCCCACCCCCGCCCGCCCGCCCCCCACACACCCCCCCCCCCCCACTCCCCAGCCCTCGCAATCGCGCTTAAGCTGATAATCAATGGGTGGCAGACGACAAGAGGAGAGTCGAATGCCGCGCCTGATATTTGGCTCCGCTTTGGGAGGGAGGTTCCATTCTGGTAATAAACGTGCACATTCCTAAGATAATATCACAAGCCTAGAGGGGTGGGGGGGGGTGGGGGGTGGGGGTGAGGGGGGTGTGGGAAGGGGAGGGGAGGGGAGGGGGGAACACACACACACACACACGCACACACGCGCTTTACAACTGCTCTCCTCTGCAGTGGGTTACGCTGATTTGGTTTAATACTATGGGTTGAAGAGTTTGTAGAGGTCGTACAGTCGCCGCCTCTCTCGCAGTCTCTCTCTCTCTCGAGTGTTCCGTTTAATATCCGTGCATCATAAAGTCGTCGTATTCTCCCTGTAAAACAGGTCAGAGAGGCCATCGGTCAGTCGGGCCGATCAACAGCCATTACTCCCCCCGCACGCCTCTGTTTCCCCGGCAGTAGGTGGGAACCCGCTTGTTAGTCGATTGGCGGATCGCTTTCCAGAGGGTAGTAAACCCTCCGGGAGAGAGAAAAATCCAAAGAAAATCGGTCGCTCGATCCACGGCTGTTTGCGGGGACGTCGCCCGGCGCGACCGGCCGCCGCGTTTCGCCGGCAAAACCCGCAGTCACCGCGCTTTACAGAATACTCTGTGCCGTGAAGGAGTCGTGGCCAGAGGGACCCGGGTTCGATTCCCCGGGCGGGTCGGGTCAGGGCGAAACCTTGGGCAAGTTTCCTTACTCCACACACGCACGCACACGCACACACCCGCAGACACACACACACACACACACACGCAGACGCACACACAGACACACACAGACGGACGGACGGAAAACCATGGCGAACCCACGGCGATCCCGGGCTGCGTACCATTCCGTCTTCATCAATCCCTTCATCTTCGTCCGAGTCCTCGTCGGTCACCGGCTCGGCGGAGCCGAAGTCCTTGAGCATCTGAGTGATGCGGGGGTCGGGTCGGTACACGGCCAGGCAGATGGGGGTGCAGCCGTTGTACATCTGGGCGTGTATGTCCGCCCGGCTTTCCAACAGCAACTTCACGACCTGCAGGTTCTGCTCCTCCACCGCCAGGTGCAGTGCCGTCCTGCCCCCGCCTTTCTCCTGAAGACACCGCCGCAATGACATCGATGATAACGATGATAATTATTCATAATGATAATAATAATTCGACCCCAGCGCCTGAGCGCGTCCTGGAGACCTCTTGAAGCGCTTCACCGCGGGACACGGGCGCTGTCGAGTGAAGCCACTGCCCGTTTTTTTTTTTTTCTCCGCGGGGCGGACGAATTTGCGACCGGCGGCGCTCCCCGCAAAACGGCCGTGGGTTGAAGCGACCGATTTATTATGAGGCGATCCGCCGGTCGACTTCGCAAGCGGGTTCCCGACGACTGCTGGTGCGCGCGCGGGAGTGAGGACACTTGCCCAACGCTTCGCCCGGCCCGGGGGGGAATCGAGCCCGGGTCTCTCGCTCGCGAGGCGAGGGCGCCAGCCGCTGAGCTGCAGGACGCTCCACTTGCCTTTAAGTTCACATCAACTTCAAACCCCAAGAGGTGCTTGACGATGCTGATGTCATTCTGCAGCACCGCGACGTGGAGAGGCGTGAACCCTGCGGAGGGACGCAATTAAAACCGATCAATATCGGCTGCCGAGAGCCATTCGCAACGCAGCGAAGCACTGGACGCACTGATCCGCCCGGACTGCGAGGTCAGATTCCTGGACCAACGCACTCGATCCGGTCTCGCCCGCAGAACATACGGTCGCTACACTTCCCAGTGCACCCCGTGAAGCGCTTTTGAGGCGTCGAGGCGCCTCGAAGCCCTTCATCGGATGCACCGTCGAGTATATTTTGTGCGCGAAGCGGGACGGCCAACGGCCAACAGCGACTGACCAAATAATTATTATTATTGTTGTTTTGGGAGGGATTATTTCCCTAACTCCGTGACCCGCGAAACCCCCTTTCCAAACCCGCTCGCGAGGCGGGCGGCCGTGAACGCGACGCGGCGGCGCCCCCGACGGTGAGCCCTCGGGCGGGGCGCGGGCTAACCGTTGTAGTTGTAGCATCGGAGCTGCTCCTCGAGCTGGGAGCGGTTGAGCAGAGAGTGAGCCCGCAGTTGGCTGGGGGTGTGCGGGGGGAGGAGCGCCTCGGCGCAGTCGAGGGCCCGCTCCTTGCAAGCCAGGTGCAAGGCTGTGTTCCCGTCCTTCTCCTGCACCAGCAAGCTCGCCCCGGCCATCATCAACTTCTTCACGAAGTCCGGCTGGCCGACAATCACCGCCAGGTGCAGCGCCGTCTGGGAGAGATCGCCCCGGAGAGTGAGCCCGAGGCGCGACCGCTATAACGACGGCGACGGCGATAACCCCGACGCCTCGAAGCGCTCCGCGGGACGAAGCGCTCGAGCCGCGGCGACTGCGCGCCGCGCGGGCTGCTCGCGCCGCTGGGTGAACGGAGGCGTGCGGGCGGAGTAAGGAAACCGGCCCCCGCGCTTCGTTCCACCCGGGGAATCGCTCGTGAGGCGAGTGCTCTAACCACTGAGCTACAGGGTGTCCGCCCCCCCCCCACCCCCCCACCCCCACCACCACCCCTTCGTCTTCACCTTCAAGGACCTTCGCCCCTCTTCCCCTACCTCTGGGACCTGCTGACCCCTTATATCAACCCGTCTCAAGACCCTCCTCTTCGACCAACCGCTCCTTCGGTCACTCTCCTAACCCCCCCACCCCCCCAACCCCCCAACCCCCTGCCCTCCTGGTCCCAAACCCCAGCTCGGGCGAGAATCCTCAACTGCCCAGCGCCTGGGGAACGTCCTCCTGACATGAAACGTCACCGTGTGAAGGTCATGCGTCGTTGTTGTCGTGGTGGTGATGGTGGTGGGTGTTGTTGTTGTTGTTAACCTGGGTCACGAGAGAGAGAGAGAGAGAGAGAGACAAGAGCTCAGTGTCCCCCTCAGTCACTCGCCCCCTCACCTGCTTCATGTCGTTCTGCAGATCCAGGAAGCAGCTGCTCGTGTAGCGAAGCACATAGTCCAGGAACTGCTCCTCTTGGTGGATGATGGCGAGGTGCAGAGCGCTGTGGGGAAAGACACCGGGTCGGCAATAAACCCCGCGGCAACCCCCCCCCCCCCCCCCCTTGGGACGTCTCTCCCCCACGTGGCGGCGGCAGTGGGGGGTGGGGGGGGTGGGGGGTGCGTTACACGAGAGCAATTGGTCTCCGCGGTTAAAGCCGGACCACTCCGCAGACCCGATCCGTTGGAAGATTCGGCGTCGGTGTAATAATCCACGTCACGGCTCGGAAGAGAGGGGGGGGGTGCGGTGGGTGGGGGGGGGGGTGCGGTGGGTGGGGGGGGCATTGGGGAGGGGGAATTCTCTCTCTCCTGGTGTCCTGGGGTTCGCCCGCGAGTGACACGGTCACTCCGCTTGGCAGGGTGTCCCGGGAAGCGCTTTCAGCCGTCTCGACGGCGCGGTGGGGGGCGCCGGGTCGAACCCCGGGGGGGGGGGACGGGGGGGGGGGAGACGGTCGCGGTCCCGACGATCGTCGCCAAATACTCACGAGTCGAGATCCTCGGTTTGGTACGTCAGCAGCTCCCGCTCGGCCCCGTTGATGCCGACCTTCCCGAGGCCCTCGGTGATCTGGCCGATGGCGCTCTCCACCCGCTCGGGGTTGGACGGGCAGACGTCGGGGTCCGTGCCCAGCCCGACCCCCAGCCCGGCCCGGGTCAGCTCGTCCAGCTCGCCCAGCGAGCCGATCCCGCTGTCGAAGTGGTCGTCGCCCTCGGCTTCGGAGGGCAGGTCCGCCGGGGGCTTGGGACCCCAGGGGCCGGCTCGGCCCACCGCCGCGCCGGGCTTGGGCAGGTGCGGGCTCTGCCGGAAGGCGTTGGGCGAGGCCTGAGGGCGAGGATGGTTAAGGTGCTCCATCTTGGGATCTTGCTCGAGAGAGAGAGAGAGGGGAGAGAGAGAGAGAGAGAGAGAGAGAGGGGGGGGGGGGGAGAGAGGGAGGAGACTGATGGAGAGGGAGAGGAGGAGAGTAAATGAGTGAGGAGAGCAAATGGAGAGAGAGGGGGAGGAGAGTGATGGAGAGGGGAGAGAGAGAGAGAGAGAGAGAGAGGGGGGGGGGGGGGGGGGGGTTGAGAGAGGGAGGAGACTGATGGAGAGGGAGAAGAGGAGAGTAAATGAGTGAGGAGAGTAAATGGAGAGAGAGAGGGAGGAGGAGAGGGAGAGGGGAGAGAGAGAGAGAGGGGTGGGGGGGGAGAGAGGGAGGAGACTGATGGAGAGGGAGAGGAGGAGAGTAAATGAGTGAGGAGAGTAAATGGAGAGAGAGAGGGAGGAGAGTGATGGAGAGGGGAGAGAGAGAGAGAGAGGGGGGGGGGGGGGAGAGAGGGAGGAGACTGATGGAGGGAGAAGAGGAGAGTAAATGAGTGAGGAGAGTAAATTGGAGAGAGAGAGGGAGGAGGAGAGTGATGGAGAGGGGAGAGAGAGAAAGTAAATGGAGAGAGGGATGGAGGAAAGAGAGAGATTGGTGGAGAGAGAGAAAGAGTGATGGAGAGGGGGAAAGAGGGAGATGGAGAGAGAGAGAGAGGGGAGGGGGAGACAGAGAGAGAGAGAGAGAGAGAGACAGAAGAGAGGCAAGTAAATGGAGAGAGGGAGATGGAGGGAGGGAGAGAAAGAGAGAGAGAGTGATGGAGAGAGAGAGAGGGAGAGACAGAGACTGAGAGGGAGGAGAGAGAGTGATGGAGAGAGAGAGAGAGAGAGGAGAGGAAAGTAAGTGAAGAGAGAGAGAGAGATATGGATGGAGGGAAGGAGGGAGAGAGAGAGAGAGGGGAGTGATGGAGGGAGGGAGAGAAAGAGAGGGAGAGAGAGAGGGAAGGAGGGAGAGATGGAGGGAGGGAAGGAGGGAGAGAGGGAGAGTGATGGAGGGAAGGAGGGAGGGAGAGAAAGAGAGGGAGAGAGAGAGAGAGAGAGAGGGGGGGAAGGAGGGAGAGAGAGGGAGAGTGATGGAGGGAAGGAGGGAGGGAGAGAAAGAGTGGGAGAGAGAGAGAGAGAGAGGGGGAAGGAGGGAGAGAGGGAGAGTGATGGAGGGAAGGAGGGAGGGAGAGAAAGAGTGGGAGAGAGAGAGAGAGAGAGAGAGGGGGAAGGAGGGAGAGAGAGGGAGAGTGATGGAGGGAAGGAGGGAGGGAGAGAAAGAGAGTGATAGAGAGAGAGTGATAGAGAGAGAGAGAGAGAGAGAGAGAGTGATGGAGGAAGGGAAGAAGACAAAGGGGGAGGAGATGAAGAGATATGTGTCCCTCTCTCTCTCCTCACGACACTGACGACATGTCGGCGCCGCCTGTGAGAGGGTGAAGCGGCCGCCGCAGAAATGTCGGGTCAAAGATGGCGGCCAGTGTCACCCAAAGTAGCCCAAACCCGCCCGACGGATAGCCCCAAACCCGCCCCCGCCGTCCCCTCCACGCACGCACGTACGCGCACGTACGCACGCACGCACGCGCGGAAACCACGCCCCCCCCCCACCACCTCCACGCACACATAGCCCCAAACCGCCCGACTGATAGCCCAAACCCGCCCGCGCACGGCAACCACGCCCCTCTCCTCCCGCGCCCGCCCCAAGTAGCCCAAACCCGCCCGATAAATAGCCCGGACCCGCCCCTCCTCGCACGCGCGCGCACAAAAATAGCCCCAAATCAACTTTTTTTTAAAAAAAATAGTAATAGTCACAACAATAATATAATAATACAATATAATTACAAAATAATAATAAATATAATTATAATATAACAATAATAATATAATAAGATATTAATAAAATAATAAAATATAGTTATAATATAATAACAATAATAATATAATATTATTATATTTATTAATCATATTAATTAATATATTTATTAATAAAATAATATAATTATAATATAATAATATAATAATATATTAATAAAATATAATTATTATATAATAAAATAATATACTTTAATAATAATATAATAATAGAATGTCATATAATAATAATATGATATATAATATAACAATAATATCACAATAAAATAATAAAATATATTTACAAAATAATACCATAATAATATAAAGTAATAAAATATAATAATAATATAATCAAATAATATCGTAACAATATAAGTAAAAATATAGAATTTAATAATAATATAATATAATAACAACAGCAATAATAATAAAATTACATTTGTAAAGCGCTTTCCACCTCAGGAGGAAAAATATAATATTATAATACAGAGCTTTGAGATATCCTGACACCTGACGTGATAAGGCGCTGTGTGTCCAAGTGTTCTCGCGTGAGAGGCGTTGAGTAAAGAGTAATTTGACACAACAGCAAGTTGTTGTTGTTGTTGTTGTTGTGTCGAACGAGAGGATTTTAATAATATTATTATTATTATTTTTGGAACTGGGCCGCGCAGCGATGCTCCCTCGTGGCACAAAATGTGGCTGCATCAGCTTTGAACACCTGAACCCGCGGGGTTCGGAGTCAGAGAATCGTTTCATCGCAGGAGGAGGCCATTCCGTCCATCGTGCCCCGACCAATCCCCATTCCCCGGCCCTTTCTCCCCCCCCCCACCCCACTCCATCCCTCCCCACCCCCTACCCCCTACCCACACCCCCCCCCACCGCCCAACCTGTGCGCAACGTGCTGCCCGCCGTTTCGCCCGCAAAACACACAGTCACTGCGCTTGGCAGTATATGTTTCCAGGCGCTTGGAGACGTCTCGAAGGCGTGATGAGGCGCTGTGTGAAATGCAAGGATCGTTATTATATTATTATTATCATTATTATTATAATCGTCCCCTCTTGGCCAGTTGCCCCTCCGTGGGGAGCAGAGGGTGGGGGTGGGGGACCTGTCAGCGGGTGATGGGTGAGCCACCCCTGGGCTGCGCTGGCCTCCTGCTGCTATGTTGCTGTCAGGGACGAGCAGCTCAGTGTACAGCTGTCACGGGCGGAGGAGATGTCAGGGGTTTCCGAAGGAGACGCTCACGCTGACGGGCTGCAGGCAAAGCAAACAGCTGAAGACCACGAACCGACAACGTGCATTAAAATGATCCCCAAATGTGGTTTTATTTCAAGTCAAATAGACACTGCGGCGCACATGCAAACCGTAACACACACACACACACGCATGCACGCACACGCGCACACGTAGCTTCTCACAGACACTATCACACATACTGGAGAGAGAGAGAGAGAGAGGGGGAGGGAGTGAGAGAGAGTGAATGAGTGTGTGTGTGAGTGTGCGAGAGTGTGTGTGTGTGTGTGTGAGAGAGGGCGTGAATGTGAGTGTACGAGAGTGAGAGAGGACAGTGTGTGAGAGTGCGCGCGAGTGTGTGTGTGTGTGAGAGTGAGACAGAGAAGATAGAATGAGACAGAGAGACAGAGTATGAGAGTGTGAGCGAGAGCGAGCGAGCGAGAGAGGGAGAGACAGTGCATGGGAGGGTAAGGGAGAGAGTGAGAGTGAGGGAGAGAGTAAGTGACTGAGTGTGTGTGAGAGAGAGAGAGAGAGAGAGAGAGGGAGGGAGGGAGGGGGGAATCGAGCTGAGATGGAGTGTGGGGAGAGGGATCGTGTCCTGACAATGCCGTTGCTCCAGGAGTTGCTTATGGCGAGTGATGGACAGAAGATTAAACTATTTATATCTGCAATTTCATCCAATCTTGCTCAAGCGGAACAGATTTTGGCCGGCAGGTTCGAGGACCTTTCCAGTTCTATTTTTCCCCCCAAATCTCCTGCAGGGTCTAAACCCAGTGCCACTTGCCCCCCCCCCCACCACCACCCCACCCCCCAACCTGCCCCCCACCATCACGCTCACCAAACAACCATTGCAGCAAAGAGGGTTGTGGTTTGGGTTGTGGTTTGGACTTCAATTCGCATTAAAGCTGTAGATTTAGGCAAACCTTAGGCGAGTTTCCTTACTCCACACACTCGCCTCTTTTTACGCAGCAGTAAGTAGGGAACCCGGTCGTTAGTCGATCAGTGGATGGCTTTCCCGGAGGTAATAATCCCTTCGAAAAAAAGAAACCTCTAAAAATAATAATAATATGGTCACTCAATCCACCACTGTTGGCGGGGACGCTGCCGTGCACAATCGGCTGCCACACTTCGCCCGCAAACTACACAGTCACTACCCTTTTTACAGTGTATCCCGTGGAGCGCTTTGAGACGTCTCGAAGACGTGACAAGGCCCTGTATCAAACGCGAGGATTATTATTCCCTTGTTATTGCAGTAAAATCCCGCGAAGCGCTTGGAGGTGTCCTCCCGTCGTGGATTATGATTGATAACAGCAATAATTATTATTAATCTTTACCAGAGCTCACGCAACGTGAGCGTTTGGGTGAGAGAGAGCAGAGAAGCTCGCGTCCTTTTTCATTTCTTAAGAGCAAATCATTCATCCCCTGTCCTCAGTGGCCTCAAATCCTCCTAAAAGATTAAGTAATTTATGTGTTCGCGGCTTAAGGAAGCTTTTGTGTTGATAAGAGGCCCAGTAGATAGCTGGTAGATCTATGCTGTGCTCATTCACGCTCTACGCGGCTCAATTGAGACGTTCAGGAAATCAATGACATTTCTGCGCTGACTAATCGGGAGAGATTGACTTCCAGACTGAAGATCACAGAGATATTCTCTAACCGCCGCCCGCAGTGCATAAACACACACGCACGCGCGCACACACGCTTCCACACATGTTCATAATAATAATAATAATAATCCTCGCATTTGATACAGCGCTTTTCACGTCGGGAGGACGTCCCGAAGCGCTTCACAGAACACACTGTAAAGTGAATTGACTGTATATTTGTGGGCGAACGCGGCAGCCAATTGCGCACAGCAATGTCCCACAAACAGTCGTGGATTGAAAATGACCAATTTATTATTGTTTTTGCTTTTGGAGGGATTATTATTAGGCTCTGTGTGGAGTAAGGTTCGATTCCCAAGTGGGACAGGTCAGGGCAAAACATTGGGTAAGTTTCCTTACTCCACACACACACGCGCGCGCGCACACACGCACGCACACGCACACACGCACGCGCACAGACACACGCACACGTCTCTGTATACCCAGCAGTAATTAGGAACTGGTTGTTAGTCGATTAGCGATCGCTTTTCCGGGGACAATAATCCCTTCGAAAAATAGTAATCATTTGGTCACTCAATCCACAGCTGTTTGCGGGACGTCGCTGTGCGCGATTGGCTGACAGATTAACACAGTCACTACGCTGTACAGTATAGCCTGTGAAGCGCTTTGCGACATCTCGTGGACCTGGTCAGAAGGCACTGTTTCAAATGCAAGGATTTTTTTTATTATTATTATTATTATTATTTGACATGGGCTTTCAGGTCAGGAGGCCGTCTCAAAATGGCTCACGGGATCCACTGCGAAGTGCAGTGACTGTTTTTTTTGCAGGCGAAATGTCTCGGGAAGTTGCGGTCTCGACCTGCAATGGAACGCAAGTGCTTCTTGTTCAGGCGAACGCAACAACTTGAATTGGTCCAGCGTCCTGCGCGCAGGGCAGAGTCCCAAGGCACTTCCCAGCACGTCAGTCATTCATCCCTGAAGGTATCACGGAGGCAGGGGAGGGGGTGGGGGGGTGGGGGGAGGGTAGAGGGGGCTACGATTATCTGTCCATCTGTCGCACCAGCCCCCACCCTCCCTACATTTCCGCTCGCTGAGCTCTGCGAATGTCAGCAGGTTTGATGTCCCAAAGTCCCTCGCTTGCTCGCTGCCTTCACGTCAAGGCTCAGTGGGCAGAGATGTCAAAGCTGATTTGTAACACATGGACAGCAAGGAAAGGTTCAGGAGATACGAGCTCCAAAAAGTTGTCCAATTAGGACCTACCTCCAACGCGGCGTTTACCCCCCCACCCACTTCGCTAATTAGATGAACAGCCGATGGCTGTTGTTCGTTTCCATCCGTCCTCTATTGCATTTAAGCCGGTGGTGGCCGACACGGTACATTTTCTTGATTGAATAATAATAATAATAATCCTCACGTTTGGCACGGCCCTTCGAGACGTCTCGAGGCGCTTCACGGGACACACTGTGAAGTGAAACGACTCTGTTTTGTGGGTGGGACGCGGCAGCCAGTTGCGCCCGGCGGCGTCCCCGCAAACAGTCGTGGATTGAGGGACCAAATGATTACCATAGTATTGTATGTACAGAGCGCTCGCCTCACCTCGCGCGCGAGAGGGACCTGCGTGCGATTCACGGGCAGCGAGAAACGTTGAGCACGTTTCCTTGCTCCGCGCACACCCCTCGGTTCCTCAGCAGTAAGTCGCTTGTTGCCCGACTGGCGGATCGCTTTTCCGCGGGTAATAATCCCTTCAAAAGACATCGATCGCCCGACCCACGACTGTTTGTGGGGGCGTCGTTGTGCGCCATTGGCTGCCGCGTTTCGCCCACAAAATACACAGTCAATGCACTTTACAGTATAATCCGTGAAGCGCTTTGAGACGTCTCGAAGACGTGATCAGGCGCTGTATAAAATGCGAGGATTATTATTATTAATTATTCTTAATTATAATGACACTTACAGCGGTCGGGGGATTCCCATAGCTATAGCCTTCAATCACTGAGACACTGAGACAGAGAGAGACAGAGAGACAGAGAGAGATAGAGAGAGAGACACAGAGACAGAGAGACAGAGAGAGATAGAGAGAGAGAGACACAGAGACAAAGAGACACAGAGAGATAGAGCGAGACAGAGAGATAGAGAGAGACAGAGAGATAGAGAGACACAGAGACAGAGAGACACAGAGAGATAGAGAGAGACACAGAGACAGAGACAGAGAGAGATAGAGAGAGACACAGAGACAGAGAGAGATAGAGAGAGACACAGAGAGATAGAGAGACACAGAGACAGAGAGACACAGAGAGATAGAGAGAGACACAGAGACAGACAGAGAGAGATAGAGAGAGACACAGAGACAGAGAGACACAGAGAGATAGAGAGACACAGAGAGATATAGACACAGAGACACAGGGAGATAGAGAGAGAGACAGAGACAGAGGGATATATATATATATATAGAGAGAGATACAGAAACAGAGAGACACAGAGAGAGAGAGAGAGACAGAGAGACACACAGAGAGAGAGAGAGATACAGAGACAGAGTGCAAACGTTAAGGGTTTGTTGGTTGGCGTTGCAAATCCATTTAGAAAAGGCGATTAAAGCGAGAGAGACAGAGACAGAGAGAGAGAGAGAGAGTGGGAATGGTCTCAGCTATACCTCGGCTTATTAAAGGGTAATAATAATCTGTGGCTCAACGCATGGGAACTGGTATTGCCTTTGCAGAGAGCAAAGTGGAGAGAGAAAGGAGGAGAGGAGAGAGGAGAGGAGAGGGGAGAGGAGGAGAGAGGAGAGGAGAGGAGAGGAGGAGTGGAGAGGAGAGGAGGAGGAGAGGAGAGGGGAGAGGAGAGGAGGAGAGAGGAGAGGAGGAGAGGAGAGGGGAGGGGAGAGGAGAGGAGAGGAGAGAGGAGAGAGAGGAGAGGAGGGAGAGGAGAGGAGAGAGGAGAGGAGAGAGGGGTAGAGAGGAGAGAGGAGAGGAGGAGAGAGGAGAGGAGAGGAGAGGAGAGGAGAGAGGAGAGGAGGAGAGAGGAGAGGAGAGGAGAGGAGAGAGGAGAGGAGAAGAGGAGAGAGAGAAGAGGAGAGGAGAAGAGAGGAGGGGAGGAAAAGGGGGTGGGTTGGAGGTTGTGGGGGGTGGGAGGGGGGAGACACAGAACAAGCCTTGAGGGGTGAGTAGTGGAGAGAGAGGTTATGTAGTCAAACCCAAAAAAAAAAACCCCACTACAGACTGCAAAGGGCTGAGGGCACAGCGCAGGGCTCAGACTGAGGCGTAATTCACCTCTAAAACTTCCAAGAGCGCAGAAATGGGGGAATGGACGATACTGGAGAGGCTTTTGGAAGCTGCTGTACAGCAACATTCAACCATGATCGGCAGGTAAGGCATTTGGGGGCAGAGGGAGGGAGGGAGAGAGGGATGGAGAGAGGGAGAGGGATGGAGAGAGGGAGAGGGATGGAGAGAGAGGGATGGAGAGAGGGAGAGGGACGGAGAGATGGAGAGAGAGGGAGAGGGATGGAGAGAGAGGGATGGAGAGAGGGAGAGGGATGGAGAGAGGGAGTGGGAAGGAGAGGGAGAGATGGAGAGAGAGAGAGGGACGGAGAGATGGAGAGAGAGGGAGAGGGATGGAGAGAGAGGGATGGAGAGAGGGAGAGGGATGGAGAGAGGGAGAGGGAGTGGGATGGAGAGAGGGATGGAGAGAGGGAGAGGGACGGAGAGAGGGAGAGAGAGAGAGAGGGAGGAGGAGAGGGATGGAGGAGGGATGGAGAGAGGAGAGAGAGGGAGAGGGATGGAGAGAGGGAGTGGGATGGAGAGAGGGATGGAGAGAGGGAGAGAGAGGGAGAGGGATGGAGAGAGAGAGAGGGATGGAGAGAGAGGGATGGAGAGAGGGAGTGGGATGGAGAGAGGGAGTGGGATGGAGAGAGGGAGTGGGATGGAGAGAGGGATGGAGAGAGGGGGAGAGGGATGGAGAGAGAGATGGAGAGAGAGATGGAGAGAGGGAGAGGGATGGAGAGAGATGGAGAGAGGGATGGAGAGAGGGATGGAGAGAGGGAGAGGGATGGAGAGATGGAGAGAGAGATGGAGAGAGAGATGGAGAGAGAGATGGAGAGAGATGGAGAGAGGGATGGAGAGAGGGAGAGAGATGGAGAGAGGGAGAGGGATGGAGAGAGGGATGGAGAGAGGGATGGAGAGAGGGATGGAGAGAGGGATGGAGAGAGGGAGAGGGATGGAGAGAGAGATGGAGAGAGGGATGGAGAGAGGGAGAGGGATGGAGAGAGGGAGAGGGATGGAGGACTGAAGGGTTGGGATGGTTCTCAATGATGGGAAGGACGCAATTGGCAAATGCGCACAAGTTGAGATGTTCCTCTTAACCCACAAGGCTGCGAATTGCCATATTCTCTCTCCTTTTATTCTCCCTCTCCCTCTCTCCCTCTCTCCCTCTCCCTCTCTCCCTCTCTCTCTCATCTGTCTCAAATGCACTGAATGCTCCAACGCCAAAAAAATAATCCAGCAACGAGTTTGCAGCCTTCAAATGAATGCCTTTAATTTTAAAATTCAATCAAATGTTAATTAAAAGCCTTCGCTTTCGCTCTTATGTAATATATAATCTTTTTTGGGGTAAAAAAAAATTGATTTGTTCGCTCCAAACCCACGACTGTTTCGCGCGCGCCATTGGCTGACGCGTTTCGCCCACGAAATCTACAGCCGATTCCCTTTACGGTGTATTCTTTTGAAGCGCTTTGAGACGTCTGGAAGACGCCAAATGCGAGGATTAGTATTGCTTTTGCGATTATATTTCTCGCCCAAACTCAACGGTCTCCGTCCTAATGTCGTGGCAGTTTTATTTTTGAGAGGTGGGGGGCGGGAGATTAAAATGGGAAGTTATTTAAATCGATTTATTTTTATAACGTTGGAATATATATTACATCTACATGTTCTCCCTGAGGCAGAAGAGCTCAGTAAATAAAGGGGATAATTCAATTTCTTTGCACGTTCCACTTAAACCGGGTTTGAAATCTATTGAAGGAACATATATATTTAAAAGCAATCTTCTCCGAGATTTAAAACCCGTGTTCTCCCTTATGTAATAATAATAATAATAATCCTTGCACTTGATACCGCACGGCTTTAGGAGTGCACACCAATCAGGAAGGGTTTTATATACTGTGTGTGGTTTTTTTTTTCCTGCTCTTCAAATTGAACCATCGTTTTGTGAAAGGAAATTTTCTCAAAAAAAAAAGTAATACGGCTAATAATTGTAGTCATTGAAACGCCAATTGCAAACGAACGGTTGTACGTCTGAATACTTTCCTCTTCGCCCGCGCCCTCGGTCACCTCCCCTCTCCTTCCAGCTTAGCTGGAAATAAATAAATAATAACAATAATTAAATAAAATAAAATAAAATAAATAAAACAATAATAAATTGGTCATTTTCAATCTACGATTGTTTGTGGGACATTGCTGTGCGCAATTGGCTGCCGCGTTCGCCCACAAATATACAGTCAATTCACTTTACAGTCTATTCTGTGAAGCGCTTTGGGACGTCCTCTCCCGACGTGAAAAGCGCTATATCAAATGCGAGGATTATTATTATTATTATATTATTATTAGCGTCAAAGCACAACCGCTGTTTAATCTCCCCGAGATGCTGCACAGCATGAAGGGCGCTGTATAAATAAATACAGGTTGTTTTTTTACCAAGGGACGGACTTAAGACAGGTCCTTATTATTATTGCTGTTTGTGGGACGCCGCTGTGGGCGATTGGCACCCACAAAATATTGCGGTGTACCCTGTGAACAGGGTACACCGCAATATTTTGCGTATCCTTATCTCCCAGCTCCATTTTCTTGCCCCACACATCACTGACATCATAAACCTGTCCCTCTCCTCTGGCTCTGTCCCCATTCCATTAAAAACTGCCATCATCACGCCCACCCTGAAAAAACCCTCCCTTGATGCGTCGCAGCTATCAAGCTACCGGCCCATCTCCAACCTCCCCTTTCTCTCCAAGGTCTTGGAAAGAGTTGTCGCCTCCCAACTGCGCTCTTTCCTCTCCACCCATTCTCTTTTTGAACCCCTTCAGTCAGGTTTCCGTGCTGCTCATAGCACAGAAACTGCCCTGGTCAAGGTCACCAATGATATCCTGACCATCTGTGACCAGGGCTCCCTCTGTCTCCTCGTCCTCCTCGACCTATCGGCAGCATTCGATACGGTCGACCACGCTATCCTACTCCACCGCTTGTCCTCCCACCTCAACCTTCAAGGCACTGTCCTTGAATGGTTTAGCTCTTACCTTTCCCACCGTCTTCACTTCGTCTCAACGAATGGCTTCTCCTCCACCCCCCGTACTGTCTCATGTGGTGTCCCTCAGGGCTCTGTCCCCTCCCCTTCACCCTCTATATGCTCCCCCTCGGTGACATCATCCGCAAACATGGGGTTAACTTCCACATGTATGCGGATGACACCCAACTCTACCTTTCCTCCTCTACTCTCAACTCCACGACCACCGATGTCCTGACAGCCTGCCTGTCCGACATCGAGTCCTGGACGAGAGACAACTTTCTTCAGCTCAACGTGCGAAAAACCGAGGCCCTCCTGATTGGCTCACGTCAGCGCCTCCGCACCTCAGGCGCTGACACCATCAGCATCCAAGGCTGCACTCTCCACCTCTCAAAGCCAGTCAGGAACCTCGGCGTTTTGTTCGACCCTGAGCTGTCCTTTCTCCCTCACATCCGCACCACAACTGGCACCGCCTTCCATCACCTCCGGAATATCGCCAGATTACGGCACTACCTCACCCCTCACGCTGCTGAAACCCTGGTTCACGCCTTTGTCACCTCAAGGCTGGACTATGGGAACTCTCTCCTCGCCGGCCTTCCCGCCACCTCCCTCCACAAGCTGCAGGTCATTCAGAACTCTGCAGCTCGTGTACTGTCCCGCACCAGGCTTCGGGACCACATCACTCCCACCCTCGCTCGCCTCCACTGGCTCCCCATCCCCCAGAGGATTGATTTCAAGATCCTCATCCTCACCTACAAGGCCATTCACGGCCTTGCTCCCTCCTACCTCTCCAACCTACTATCCCCCTACCTACCTGCCCGTACCCTCCGTTCCTCTGGCTCCGGTCTGCTCCACGTCCCCCGCCCCAACCGCCCTACTATCGGTGGTCGGGCCTTCAGCCTCTCAGCCCCGAGGCTCTGGAACTCCATCCCCCAGTGCCTTCGCCTTGCTTCCTCCCTTTCCTCCTTCAAGGCCGGTCTCAAAACCTTTCTCTTTGACCGTGCCTTCAGCTCCCCTCTCGACTCTCTTCCTCCTCCTCGCTCCCTCCCTTCCCTCCCCTCACCCTGACCATTTCCCCCCTCCTCTCTCCCTCCCTTCCCTCCCCTCACCCTGACCATTTCCCCCCTGCTCGGGTCATGACCCAACTGTGCAGCGCCTTGGGACGTCCTCCTGACGTGAAAGGCGCTCTATAAATGGAATCTTGTTGTTGTTGTTGTTGTTGTGAAGCGCTTTGGGACGTCTGACTGTTCTGGGAGAACGTCGGCCAGAACACCAGGAGAGAGAGAGGGAGAAACTCAATTCCCTTTTCCCGACCGCGCCACGGGAGGGCTCTGTAACGTCCACCCGGCCTCGGTTTAACGCCTCATCCCTTTAACAATACAGCAACCCCCCCCCCCCCCACCGCTACACTAGAACGCCATCTTGGACTATACGTGTTCCAAGTCTAGACGTGGGGCTTGAACCGGCATCAGGCTCTCCGTCCCCAGCCTCTGGAACTCCATCCCACAGTCCCTCCGCCTCGCCCCCTCCCGCGCCTCCTTCAAGACCTGCCTCAAGACCCTCCTCTTCGACCGCGCCTTCGGTCACCCTCCTACCCCTATTCCACCACTCTCCACCCTCCTGATCCCAACCACCAGCTCGGGTGCAGATCCTCACAAGTCCAGCGCCTTGGGACGCCCCCCTGACGTGAAAGGCGCTGCGTAAATGTCATTTTTCCTTGTTGTTGTAATTTCTTTAGGATTCTTCTGACCGTGGTGGTGATCTTCCGGATATTAATTGTTGCCATCGTCGGGGAGACGGTGTACGAGGATGAGCAGACCATGTTCATGTGCAATACTCTGCAGCCTGGTTGCAACCAGGCCTGTTACGACAAGGCTTTTCCCATCTCCCACATCAGGTATTGGGTCTTCCAGATAATCCTGGTCTGCACACCCAGCCTCTGCTTCATCACCTACTCCGTCCACCAGTCGTCCAAACAGAAGGACAGACGTTTCTCCGTGCTGTATCCCCTCCTGGATCAGGATTACTCCAGGCCGCCCTTGGAAAGAAACGAGGACAAGAAGCTCCGAAGCAACACGATCAACGGGATCCTCATCCAGAACCCGGACGGGTTGACCAAGGAATTGGAACCCGATTGCCTGGAAGCCAAGGACATCCCCCATGTTTCCATGAGGACCAGCATCAAAAGCTCGAAGACTCGACGGCAGGAGGGCATCTCCAGGTTCTACATTATCCAGGTGGTCTTCAGGAACGGGCTGGAGATGGGCTTCTTAGTGGGACAGTATTTTCTGTACGGTTTCAATGTGCCAGCCATCTTCGAGTGCGACAGGTACCCTTGCGTCAAGGAGGTGGAGTGCTACGTGTCCAGGCCAACTGAGAAGACGGTCTTCCTGGTCTTCATGTTTGCCGTGAGCGGGATCTGCGTGGCTCTCAACCTGGCGGAGCTCAACCATCTGGGATGGCGTAAGATCAACGCGGCAATCAGAGGGGTGCAGGCCCGGAGGAAATCCACTAGCCAGGTCAGGAAGAAGGAACCATCCCGTTTGGGCCACCAGGCACGAAGCCTCGGGAGGACACAATCCAGCGAGTCCGCGTACGTCTGAGCTGCAGATGCCTGGTCCCGTCCAAAACCCGTAGGGATCGGGGCGCTTGACCTGGAGGCAATTCGGAAATTCTGGGTTGGGTATTGGCCAGAACTCTTTGTGAGGGGAAGCCTCTGCTAGGTTCTCAACGTGCCAAGGCCCGAACGGGTCGAAAGAGACTGAACGTTGGATCTTTGAGGAGCAAGAAAGTGCGGACGCAACATTCTTCGCCTGCGTGCAGAGGGCACTGACGTACCAAGTGACTCCTTGAGCCCTTCGCTGGCTGAGCAGTGGTAGTGCCCGCTATCAGCCTGGAGCAGCTGAGAATGAAGACTTAGATATTAGGCTCTCTATGAACTGTCTGGGCAGGACAGTGCACTGAGGCTTCTCGTGTAACGCGCATGCTGTCCACTCTGTACCATAGCTGTTGTAGACCGAGCTATTGGCTGGGTCTTTGCTAAACTCCCCCAGGAACCACGAATTAAAAGCAAACTGGATAAGTGGTGTGGAAAGATATTGAAGGGGGAATTGGAAAGATCGGAAGGGAATAAAAAGGAATCGCTCGACCAAATATGGGAAGGGTTTGCATCAAAACATTTGCAATTGGCAGATCGCTTTTACGGGGGTGGGGGGGGCAATAATCCTTTCCCCCAAAAAAAATAATAATTTGGTCACTCAATCCGCGACTGTTTGCGGGACACTGCGGTGCGCCCTTCGCCCACAAAATATACAGTCACAACACTTTACAATATATTCTGTGAAACGATTTGAGACGCCTCAAAGCCGTAAAATGTTATAGCAAATAGGATTATTAATAGTAATTACTTTTATTAATAATAATCCTTGATACAGCGCCTTATCACATCTTCAAGAGGCCTCAAAGCGCTTCACAGAATATACTGCAAAGTGAATTGACTGTATATTTTGTAGACAAAGTTGGTTCAAGTTCCCATACAACAACTTGCACCCTTCACGCAACGTAGCCTCTCAAAGCGCTGATCAGTGGCGGAGCTTGACGCTGAGCCGGGGAAAGGGGGACTGGGGGGAGGTGACTAAAGGCCCGGTTGAAGACGAAGGTCTTAAAAATGGAGGGGAAAAAAAATCATTGGAAGACAGAAAAACGATCAACAAACGAGTGGCAGGAAAATTTGCTTGGAACAGCCAAGTGGGTTTAAACTTTCCCAAGGAGCCAGAGTTAAAGACACACACATTCCATCAATAACTTAATCCTCGTTTGCTTGCTTGGAGTCCTGTATCGTCGTGGTTGAAGCACTCGCCTCGCAAGCGAGAGGACCTGGGTTCGATTCCCAGACAGGGCTAAACGTTGGGCAAGTTTCCTCACTCCACACACACTCCTTCCTCTGTTTATCTAACACTTCCTATTGGAACTCGGTTGTCAGTGGATTGGCGGATCCTTTCCTCTTCAAAAAATCCCTTCCACAAAAATAACAATAATTTGGTCACTCAAGCCACGGCTGCTTGTGGGACACTGCTGTGCGCAATTTCACCCACAGGTTAACTCGCTCTACAGTCTATCCTCTGAAGCTCTTCGAGACGTCCCAAAGACGTGATAAGGCGCTGTACCAAATGCGAGGATGATTATTATTAATGAACTAATCTGCAAATGTGCTCCTGAAAAAAAACAAAAGCCTCCCCTGTAAATAATGTAAAGTACGTGCTTTGACTGACCATCCGGTGGCTTTCGAGATTAACAGATGAGGTTTACTGAGCAGGCTTTGGAAACCAGCCCAGATGAAGGATCTCTGATGGGAGCCCTCAGTGCCAACTCCTGCCTCTTGCGACACAAAGCTTGGCTTTTAATGACTGACTACGGGGCTTAAATCCACTCTTTAATATCTCTAAGTGCACCGAGAGCTGTTTGTGAGTGCTATATGGTGATGGTTTTTAGACTGTTTTGTGCACCGTAAAGCTGTGCCAGTGGGGGTGACAGTGCTTTGAACTATAGCTGTACATTAAAAATACACCGTCCATTCAGGTACTCTTTTGAACAATAAAGTGTGCGTTAAAGTTAAAGGAACCTTCACATTTCAGACCCTTTTTTTTTTCTGAACGATAAATGTCCTCGGCACCGAGGGCGAGGATAACACTAACGAACGTCGGTCAATCTGCTCTACAGCGGAGGCTTTGCGACGTCCCGATGACGTGGCGCTACATCTGTTCAATCCACGACCGGGACGTCGCCGGGCGCAATCGGCTGCGGCGCTCCGTCCGCAAAACGCACAGTCACTGCGCTTTACGGTGTCTCCTGTGAAGCGCTTTGAGACGTCTCGAAGACGTGATAAGGCGCTGTATCACATGTAAGGATTATTATTATTATTATACCACACAGTGCCTCACAAACTCCCAAGTCCCATATTTCCCCCCCACCCCCCACTCTCTCCCTCCCCAACCATCACGAATACCCGTCGTTTTTTTTTGGGGGGGGGGAGGGCGTATTTTTTTTCTCACCCATTTCCCCCTTTTGTTTTGTTTCATTTTATTTCCCGTCACCTTTTAAGAAAAAAAAACTTATTTTGTTCTTCCGATTGAATTTTTTTTCTTTTCCCTTTTTTGTGCCTTCGAACGCGCCCCAACCCCCCCTCCCCCCCCCTCCCTCCCCCTCCTCCCCTTCACGGTCGCCGCGGTACGTGCGCTGATGCCCCGAGCGGGCAATCGAGCCGTCCGAAGCCTCGACCCCCCCCCCTCCCTGAACCCGGTCACGCACTCCCCCCCCCCGTAGCGCGTACGGCCCCCCGTCGGCACGTCTTCGCGCGAACCCCGCGCGCGGGCGCGGAGGGTCTCCGGTCGCTGCGTGTGCGCGCGCGGGGGGGGGCCGCCAATCCCTCACCGCGCGCCACGCGTGACGGTCGCGCGGGTCAGGAGGATGTCCCAAGGCCCAGGACGGTCAAGGGTGGGGCGGGGGGGGGGGGGTTTGGACCTGAGTGGGGGTCGGGACCGGGAGGGGGTGGAGGGCGGGGGAGGGGGTGTGTGGGGGGAGGGAGGGAGGGGGGGGAGGAGGGTGACCGAAGGCGCGGTCAGTCGAAGAGGAGGGTCATGAGACAGGTCTTGAAGGAGGTGGGGGGGGGGGGGGGTGGGGGGGGGGTCAAGGCCGTGGTGGGAGGGGCTTTGAGGGTGAGGACCAGGATGTTGAACTATAACCCCGGGGGGAGGGGGGAGGGCACCCGGGGGCCGGTTACTCGAGGTCACCAAGGACTTGCCGAAGGCCCCGGGCCGGGCCGTGGGGCCGCTCCGTGTGTCCGTCCCCTGGGCCCTGGGCCGAGAAAGGTTAGACGAGGCCGCGAAGCGCCTGCGGGCGGGTGGGGCCGTCGCGCACTCGCAAGGCGGGCGACGGCCGAACCGTGGCTCGTCGCCGTGGCAACGCCGGGACCGCCCGCCCACCGGAGGTGACGAAAACGCCTCCCCCCCCCTCCACCCCGAGCTCAGCCCGCCCACCGGACGTGACGAAACGCCCCCCTCGCGCTCCTCCCCCACCCCCTGAGCGTGCGCGCGGCAGGGCGAGGGCTGGGCCGGCCCGCCCACCGGACGTGACGAAATGCCCCCTCGCGCTCCTCCTCCTCCCCCTCCCGCCCTCCCGAGCGCGTGGCAGCGCGAGCGCGTGCGCGGCCCGCCCACCGGATGTGACGGAACCCTCCCCAACCCGTCGCCTGTTGGAATGGCCGCCGCCCGCTTTCCCGCCCAAACCTCACCCTTTCCCCCCCCCCCCTCCACACCCCCTCCTCACGCGCACTCAAACGGACGCTCGCCGGTGTCGTGGCGCAGGGGAGATTTCACGGGCACCACCCACTGGTCCCCCTCACGCCGGACACCGGACACCAGACCGGGCACCGCCTACTGGTCCCCCTCGCGACGGACACCGGACACCACCCACTGGTCCCCCTCGCGCCGGACACCGGACACCACCCACTGGACCCCCTCACGCTGGACACCGGGCACCGGACACCGGGCACCACCCACTGGACCCCCTCACGCTGGACACCGGGCACCGGACACCGGGCACCACCCACTGGACCCCCTCACGCTGGACACCGGGCACCGGACACCGGGCACCACCCACTGGACCCCCTCACGCTGGACACGGGCACCGGACCGGACACCACCCACTGGTCCCCCTCACGCTGGACACCGGGCACCGGACCGGACACCACCCACTGGACCCCCTCACGCTGGACACCGGGCACCGGACCGGACACCACCCACTGGTCCCCCTCACGCTGGACACCGGGCACCGGACCGGACACCACCCACTGGACCCCCTCACGCTGGACACCGGGCACCGGACACCGGGCACCACCCACTGGTCCCCCTCACGCTGGACACCGGGCACCGGACCGGACACCACCCACTGGACCCCCTCACGCTGGACACCGGGCACCGGACCGGACACCACCCACTGGACCCCCTCACGCTGGACACCGGGCACCGGACACCGGGCACCACCCACTGGACCCCCTCACGCCGTACACCAGACGCCGCTACAGTTTATAACAATAATATATGATGATGACATTCCCGGCGCCGCGTCACGTCTTCGAGAACGCCTCAAAGCGCTTCACGGGATATAACGCCGTAAAGTGTAGTAACTGTGTGTTTTTTTGGGGGCGAAACGCGAGCGGCCGATCGTGCCCAGCGACGTCCCCCCCCCACCACCCCCCACCCCCATCCCAAACAGCCCTGGGATTGAGGTGACCAATTTATTATTTGTTATTAATTATGTTGAAGGGATTGTTAAATCCCCCCCGGAAAGCGATCCGTCAATCGATTAACAACCGGGTTCCTACCGACTGCTGTTAAACAGAGGCGTGTGTGTGGGGGTGGGGGTGTGTGGGGGTGTGTGTGTGTGTGTGTGTGGGGGGGCGTAAAGAAACTTGCCGGAGGTTTCTCGCTTGCGAGGCGAGTCACAATGAATCCAATGCTCTGTTGGCGAGTGACCGAGTGATAGACTGTGACGTGTGAAAATGTCCTCAACAAGTTGGTGAAATGTGTCAACTCCGGGAATGTAACGAAGCGACAGACTGATCTGAGCTGAGCTCCAAGAGCAGAGGATACCACACAACGGAGGCCAGGTTCAGCCAGAGTTTATTTGATTACAAAGCAGCGAGCGAGAGGTGACATTTACAGGAAATTGAAGAGGATTGATTTATTGTTCCCAAGGCTCTGGACAGTCATGGATCTGCACCCGAGCTGGGGATCGGGATCAGGAGGATGGGGGTAGGAGGGTGACCGCAGGCACGGTTGAAAAGGAGGGTCATGAAGGAGGCAATGGAGGGGGCGAGCTGGAGGGACTTTGGTATGGAGTTCTGGAGAGTGGGGACAGAGCTGAAGATACCGAGATGCGGCACAAAGACACAAAAGACAAACGCACAGGCATTCATTCACACGCTTACTGAATGCCAGGGTTACCGGTGGGGTGATGGTCTGGGCTGGGAGGGGTCTGGCTGAAGTAAATACTAAAAACTGCTCAAAAGAAATTGGGAGCTTCCGTCATTGGCGAAGGATAAATATCTCAAAAGTGCGTCACAGCGATGATGATCAACAAGCAGAGCCTGGAGTTTGAGGATGTGGACCTATCGCAAGAGCAAAGGCCAAGAAGGTCTGAGGCTAAAGGAGAGCCTAGAGGGGAAAAGTGGCTGAAGGCTCGTCCACTAAACGATTGGACGAAGGGAATGAAGAAGGAGAACTGCAGAAGGTAGAAGATATGGTGAGAGAGAAGACTGAAGAGACAGCTGAGGTAAAGATCATGACAAAACAACAACCAACTTGCATTGCATTTATATAGTGCCCTTCATACCGGATAGCATTCCGGAATGCTTGACAGTGGCGGAGTCTGACTCCAAGCAAGAGGGAGGGGGAGGTGAGCATAAGCACGATCAAAAGGTATGGTCTTTAGGCGGGGGGTGGAGGTGGCAAGGCGGAGGGATTGAGGGAGAGATTGAGAGTTTTGGGGGGGTAGTGACTGAAGGCACGGTCACCGATGGTGGAACAGAGGGCGCGAGATTTGAACAGGAGGCTAAAGCCAGCCGGGTGGAGGCAGCGGGGAGGCTGGAGTTGGGAGTGAGTAGTTCTGAGAGGTAGGGACGTGTGAGGAAATGGAGCGATTTGAAAACGAGCGAGAGGATTTTGAAGTCGATCTGTTCGGTGATCGGGAGCCAGCGGAGCGTGGCGAGGATTGGTGTGAGCGCAAGGTGGGTTTTTGGCCATGGACCGTAAAGGAAAACCTGAACCTGAATTAGAGACATTTCTCCTCCTCGTTCTTCCACGTCACTCCCTCAGTCGCTGTCCTTCTGCTTCAGTGCCGTGAGTTTCAGTAAACGTCCCCCAGGAATGGCGGAAAAGATGGAACTCAGCTACGTCGATAGAGAAAGCCAAGAATGAACATCAAATAATAATAACAAAATAGTATAGCTCCTTATCGCATCGTCCAGCTGTCCCAAAATGCTCACGGGATATACTGTAGGTTTTGTGGGCAAACATGGCAACCAATTGGCGCACGGCAATGTCCCACAAACAGCGCTAAAGTGCAGCCAATTTTATTTTAATAATTACAACACTTGCATTTTGATATAGCGCTTTTTCACGTCTTCGAGAATATACTGTGAAGTATAGCGCCTGTCTATTTTGTGGTCGCTTACAGCCACCCCCTCCCTCAAGGAATTGGTCGTTTGACATCCGACAAGCGTGGGTTGGAACCCTCACTCGGCGGTTGATAGGTGCTAGGAACTCCCTGCAAGCTTGCTTGTGGGCAACGCAGGTCAGCATGAAATGCACAAGAGCATTGCTACCATCTTCCTGTCCACAGCTCGGACACACGTCCCTTCCCACGGAGGAGCGCACTGGCATGTCAGCCTGGAGTGTGAGCTCAAATGTCTCTGAGGTGAGGCTTGAACACAAAAACCTCCGGACTCAGAAACCAGAGTGTGAGCCTGCGCCAGGCTGGCTAGCCACAGACAAGCCCTGAGATGTGAGCAGGAGGCAGCTCACTGTCAGGCCAGAGCTGTAACTCACCATCTTCTCCAGAGCCTGGATTAACACTGGGTTATCAGGGCTGATCGGATATCCCAACACCACAAAACTAACGGTGCCTGACACGCGCTTCTTCTGGAGGTCTGAAAATCAGAGAGAGATGGTCTTAATAATCCTCGCATTTGATACAGCGCCTTATCAAGTCTTCGAGACGTCTCAGAGCCCTTCACAGGATACACTGCGTAGTGAATTGATTGTATATGTTGTCAACCAGTCACGCACAGCAGTGTCCCACAGTCATGGATTGAGTGACCACATTTTTTTTTGAAGGGATTACCCCTGGGAAAGCAATCCGCCAATCGACGAACAATTGGGTTCCAACTTACTGCTAGGTAAACAGAGAGTAAGGAAACTTGCTTAATGTTTTGCCCTGACCCGAGAGTCAAACCCTGGTCCTCTCGCTTGCGAGGTAAGTGCTCTAACCACTACGCCACAGGACTCCCAGAAAACCTTAGCACAAGGTCTGCAGCCCACTCCCCTCCATTTCCCCTTCTCCCATGGGGAGGCTGGGATGAACAAACCTGTGGACTGAATGCATTCCTTATTATTGAGGGTGCTGACTTTGCCTGCAAGAGAGAGAGAGACCAGAATTAAGACATTAATAGCATAAGGTGTGCCTACTTGAATACTTTTAAGCCTTCAATCCATCTCCTGACTCTCTAAGTCACTATTCCATTTCCCGCTCACATTTTAATGCTCCATTTCCTCCCAAAGACTGCATCCATCTCCCTTTCACATCTCAAATGATCTCCTGACTCCCCAAGTCTCTATCCATTTCCCTCTTGACACCTCAATCGATCTCCTGACTCCTCAAGTCTCCATCCATCTCTCTTTTCAGTATCTCATTCAATTCTGTCTCCTGACAGTGAAAAGCCAATGCCTGACTCTCCCCTGAGATCTCCTTACCTGAGCAGGTAACGCCAGCGTCCTGACTGTGGCTACAGTTATTATTTCCGTACGGTTTTGCCGGGCACTGATCGAGGGCGACCTCTGTTCCCTCACACCTCATGTCAGACAGCCAGACCGGCCCAGTCCCCTGTCCGAAGGTTGCATTCCCTGTCGCTGACGTGGCCTCTCCACAGTTCAACAGTCTGCAGACGACATTGGCCTCCTCCATACCCCAGTGATCCCCACACACGCTTCCCCAAGTACAGATGTGAAACACCTCGACTCTCCCGGAGCATATGGTGCTTCCGTTCATCAGCCTGATTGGCACGGGACCTGGGGGAGAGGGAACGGCAATTAAAAATCCTCTTGCGTTTTCCTGGAATAATCTGGGATAAATGTGTCTTCCCTTCCCCTGCTCCATCCTGGGCACACTGATTTCTGCCTAAGATGAATTCAACCTCCCATTTATTTCAAGGGAAGCATACACATCCCAGAACATACTGTGGAGTGGAGTGACTGTATTTTGGGGGGAAGACTACACATCACAGGGCATAGTACAGTGTAGGAACTGTGTTTTGCACACCCACAAAATATACAGTCAATTCACTTTACAGTATTCTGTGAAACGTTTTGAGACGTCTCAAAGATGTGATAAGGTGTCATATCAAATGCAAGGATTATTGTTATTTGTAGAAAATGCTATTTTTGCAGGAATTGGGCTTAAGATGGGGAGAGCTTAGTGCTCTGGACTGACCTGTGATAGAGCAGGAACAGTCAAGCCCTCGCCTATTCCAAAACTTCCCAGGAGAAGTCCTGTTGTCCTCCTAATCTCCTTACCTGAGCAGATAACGCCAGCATTCTGACTGTGGAGACAGGTATTAATTCCGTACGGTTTTGCCATGCACTGATCGAGAGCTGGCTCTGTGCCCTTACACCTCACATCAGACAGCCAGAACCGCCCAGTCCCCCGTCCAAAGGTTGAGCTCACAGTCGCTGATGTGGCTTCTCCACAGTTCAACAGTCTGCAGACGACACTGGCCGCCTTGAAATCCCAGTGATCCCCACACACGCTGCCCCAAGTGGAATTGTGGAGCACCTCCACTCTCCCGGAGCACATACTGTTCCCGTCCACCAGTCTGACCGGCACGGGGCCTGTTGGGAGAGAGTGAGAGGTGAGCGTAAGAATATAAGAATTTTCTAAGCCTGGCAAGATCCAAGGTCCATCACCTTCCACCATCCTAGCCATCGCTTGACATGTCGTGTCCCAAACTATATACTGTATCTCTCCCGAGATATTTTCTAGCAGAAATCTATCTGGTTTGTTCTTGGAAAAAGGAGGCGTTGGTGTGGCGGATTCTTGGCCTGAATCTCACCTTCCCCACAACAGCTGCTGCCTGCAGACAACCTCTAGGTGTTGTTCACTCTAAACCCAACGATTCTCTCTGCCCCATTAGCCGTACCTGTGCAAATCATTCCACAACCTGTCAACTCTGGGTGGAGTTTACCCAAACCTCTCCTACTCCGAACCATCTCAAACCTGTCCTTCATCTCAGAGGTCCTGGAATGTGTAGTGGCCAACCAACTGCGCTCATACCTTTCCCTCCATTCCAAGCCCCTCCAGGCTGATCTGCTCACACCCTACTTTTCTACCTGCACTCTCCCCCCCCCCCCCCCCCTCCACCCCGCTCAACTGGCTTCAGTTCTCTGCACAATCCTCGTTCCCTCTACTCCGTGCTTTCAGCCACCGCGCCTCTAAACTGGAGCCCTTCCTCAATCCCTCCGCCTAGCCTCCTTCCTCTGAAGACCTACCCACCTTGACCATACCTACAGTCCATCTCCCCACTACTTCCCTGGCTTGCTGTTGGAGCTCTACCACTGTTAAACGCTGTGAGACATTACCCCGTGAGAAGAGCACTATTCAAATGCAAGCTGTTGCTGTTTAAGATATTTATTAATTCAGGGTATTAAGGGATATGGGGCAAGGGCAGGTAAACTGGACTTGAGGTACAGATCTGCCATGATCTTATACAATGGCGGAACAGGCTCGAGGGGCTGAGTAGCCGTCTGCTGTTTCTATGCTCCCAAGTCACAATCTTGAATTCACACATAATGCTCCCGTGATTTGGGAGTCATCAAAGCCGATTTCTTCACTAAGAAATACCTGAAGTCATATATTTCTGCGGCCACTCACCAGGATTGTGGAACATCTCACCAGGTAAGATCTCCTTACCTGAGCAGGTAACGCTGGCGTCCTGTCTGTGGTGACAGGTATTATTTCCGTACGGTTTTGCCGGGCACTGATCGAGGGCGGCCTCTGAACCACTACACCTCAAGTCAGATAGCCAGACCCGCCCAGTCCCCTGTCCGAAGGTTGCGTTCCCTGTCGCTGATGTGGCCTCTCCACAGTTCAACAGTCTGCAGACGACATTGGCCTCCTCCGTACCCCAGTGATCCCCACACACTGTTCCCCAAATGGAGTTGTGCAACACCTCGACTCTCCCGGAGCACATGTTGTTCCCGTCCACCATTCTGACCGGCACAGGACCTGGGAGAGAGGGAGACATTGATGGAATTATTTGGAACAGCATTCTCCAACCTCCAATGGAATGGATTAAGAGTCGAGAGCTCCAGGGAGGAAAAAGCACCAAAGTGGACAAGATGAGCAGAAAGCAGAGGAACGGGATTAGTGTTGAGAGCTCCGGAGACGGGGGAGTGATCAGCAGCACAAAGGACATGATAGGGGAATGGTATTAGTGGAGAGTGATCCGGGAGGGGGGGGGTGAGGGGCACTTATTCTGAATTTGCACACAAAATATACAGTCAAATCACTTTACAGTATATTCTGTGAAGCGCTCTGAGACGTCTCGAAAACATGATCAGGCGCTGCATCAAATGCAAAGATTATTATTATTAATTCAGTGCAAGCGATCGCTTTGCGGCCAAGTGAGGAATCTCCTTACCTGAGCAGATAACGCCAGCATCCTGACTGTGGCTACAGTTGTTGTTTCCATACGGTTTTGCCGGGCACTGATCGAGGGCGACCTCCGTCCCATTACACCTCATGTCAGACAGCCAGACCGGCCCAGTCCCCTGTCCGAAGGTTGCGTTCCCTGTCGCTGATGTGGCCTTTCCACAGTTCAACAGTCTGCAGACGACATTGGCCTCCTCCGTACCCCAGTGATCCCCACACACACTTCCCCAAGTGGAGTTGTGCAACACCTCGACTCTCCCGGAGCACATGTTGTTCCCGTTCACCAGTCTGACCGGCACAGGACCTGGGAGAGAGGGAGGAATGGTGAACAGTGAGGAGTTGGTGCGACACCTTGTCAACCTGAAGCTCACCTTCCCCACAGCATTTGCCGCCTGCGGACACCACTCAGTGTCATTCCCTCCACTCGCGACTGTGCACGCTTAGTATGGGGAGCTGCTATAGCCACAGGAGGAGGCCATTCAAACCACATACAATGCTTAACCAGTTCACCCAATCCCATTTCCCCTCTTCAACCTCCTTCAAACTCCTCCAACCAACTGACACCTCCATTCACGCCAAGAGATCGCCAGAGAATCGTGCAAATGGACATCACCCTTGGAGGGCATTGCGCACCCTGACAACCCTCTGGGAAGAGATCACTCAAACAACACCACGGCCAGCAGTTACGATTCGCCCTTCATGCAGGGCAATGTCTCAAAGCGCTGTAACATCTCCCACTCCCATGTAAGGATCTTCAATTCACTCCCATTAATTCAGTGACCTGGGAATCATCAAATCCCATTTGCTAATTGAGAATCCGTGAAAAAATATTATGAAATTGCTCGCAATTCTTCCGTGGCTACTCAGCAGGATTCTGAAGCATGTGATGGTGAGATCTTACCTGAGCAGGTAACGCTAGCATCCTGACTGTGGCTACACGTATTGGTTCCATACGGATCTGCCCGGCATTGATCGAGGGCGGCCGCTGTCCCATTACACCTCACGTCAGACAGCCAGACCGGCCCAGTCCCCTGTCCGAATGTTGCATTCCCTGTCGCTGACGTGGCCTCTCCACAGTTCAACAGTCTGCAGATGACATTGGCCTCCTCCGTACCCCAGTGATCCCCACACACGCTTCCCCAAGTGGAGTTGTGCAACACCTCGACTCTCCCGGTGCACATGTTGTTCCCGTTCACTAGTCTGACCGGCACAGGACCTGGGAGAGAGGGACATTATCAGAAATATCATTCCACAACTTTCAGTGGAATGTGATTGGAAAGGGCGCAAGAACCAGCATAGACACGATAAGGAGAGAGCAGAGTAATAGGATTAGAGTAAGGAGCTCTGGGGGCTGCTGGTGGAATCAATTATTACCAATCCATTGCAAGCGTTGGCTTTCCGGCCACACAAGGAATCTCCTTACCTGAGCAGGTAAGTCCAGCGTCCTGGCTGTGGCTACAGTTGTTGTTTCCATACGGTTTTGCCGGGCACTGATCAAGGGCGGCCTCCGTTCCTTTACACCTAACGTCAGACAGCCAGACCGGCCCAGTCCCCTGTCCGAAGGTTGCGTTCCCTGTCGCTGATGTGGCCTTTCCACAGTTCAACAGTCTGCAGACGATATTGGCCTCCTCCGTACCCCAGTGATCCCCACACACACTTCCCCAAGTGGAGTTGTGCAACACCTCGACTCTCCCGGAGCACATGTTGTTCCCGTTCACCAGTCTGACCGGCACAGGACCTGGGAGAGAGGGAGGAATGGTGAATAGTGAGGAGTTGGTGCAACAGCTTCTCAACCTGAAGCTCACCTTCCCCACAGCATTTGCCGCCTGCGGACACCACCGTGTCATTCCCTCCACTCACGACTGTGCACACTTAGTATGCGGAGCTGCTATAGCCACAGGAGGAGGCCATTCAGTCCAGCAAACGATGCTTGCCAGCTCTTCCAATCCCAATTCCCCTCTTCACCAACCTCCTTAAAACTCCTCCAACCAACTGACATTATCGCCAAGAGAACACCAGAGGACCATGCAAATGGACGTCACGTGTGGAGGACATTGCACACTCCGAGGACCCTCTGGGAAGAGTTCATCCAAACAACAACACCACAGCCACCATTTACGATGCGCCCTTACGCAAGGTAACATCTCACAGCACCATAACCTCTCTTGCTCCCATGTCAGGATCTTGAATTCACTCCCACTGTTTCCGTGACCTGGGAATCATCAAATCCAATTTGCTGATCGAGAATCCATTAAAAAAATTATAAAATTGCTCGCAATTCTTCCGTGGCTACTCGGCATGTGATGGTGAGATCTTACCTGAGCAGGTAACGCTAGCATCCTGACTGTGGCTACACGTATTGGTTCCATATGGATCCGCCCGGCATTGATCGAGAGCGTCCTCTTTCCCATCACACCTCACGTCAGACAGCCAGACCGGCCCAGTCCCCCGTCCGAATGTTGCATTCCCTGTCACTGACGTGGCTTCTCCACAGTCCAACAGTCTGCAGATGACATTGGCCTCCTCCGGACCCCAGTGATCCCCACACACGCTTCCCCAAGTGGAGTTGTGCAACACCTCAACTCTCCCGGAGCACATGTTGTTCCCGTTCACTAGTCTGACCGGCACAGGACCTGGGAGAGAGGGACATTAACAGAAACGTGAATTCCCAACTTTCACTGGAATGTGATCGGAAAGCTCTTGGAAGGAGTAAGCACCAGCATAGACACAATAAGGAGAGAGCAGAGTAATAGGATTAGGGCAAAGAGCTCTAGGGGCTGCTGGTGGAATCAGTTATTCCCAATTCATTGCAAGCGATGGCTTTCCGGCCACACAAGGAACTCCTTACCTGAGCAGGCAACTCCAGCGTCCGGACTGTGGCTACATTTATTATTTCCATATGGTTTGCCGGGCACTGATCGAGGGCGGCCTCTGTCCCATTACACCTGACGTCAGACAGCCAGACCGGCCCAATCCCCTGTCCGAAGTTTGCATTCCTTGTCGCTGACGTGGCCTCTCCACAGTTCAACAGTCTGCAGACGACATTGGCCTCCTCCGAACCCCAGTTGTCCCCACACACGCTTCCCCAAGTGGAGTTGTGGAACACCTCGACTCTCCCGGAGCACATGTTGTTACCATCAACCAGTCTGACCGGCACAGGACCTGGGAGAGAGGGAGAGATGAGTCAGTTTGCTGACACACCTTAGTGTCATTCATTCCACTTATGACCATACCTTCACAGTATAGCAAGATGCTATAGCAGTAAGAGGAGGACGTTATGACTATCAAACATGCATGCCAGTTCTTCCAACGCCGTTTGAGCAACAACAACTTGTATTTATGCAGCACCCTTCACTCAGGTACCATTCCTGGACAGCTTGACAGTGTCGGAGTCTTCTCCCTTTCTCCAACCTCCTTAATACTCGAACATCAGCAACTTACACCTCCATTCAAGCCAAGAGAATGCCAGAGAACCATGCAAATGGTCATCACGCTTGGAGGTCATTATTTTGTGTCGGTGTTTGCTCATCAAGAAACCCCCACTTCCCAGTTCCCATGTTCTGCTCGTTCCTGTCCTCTCTAGTTCCCTTCCCTTCAAGATCTTCCTCAACTTCTCTTAAATCCCACAATTATCCTTGCTTCCATCATCGCACCTGGCAAATCATTGCACACCCTGGCAGCTCTCTGGGAAGAGTTCATCCAAATGTCTTCTGCTCCCAAGTCACAATCACCGTGACTTTGGAATAATCAAATCCCATTCCCTAATCAAGAAATCTATGAAGAAATGATGTGAAATTGCTCCCATTTCCGCCATGACCACTCACCAAGATTCTGAACCATCTAATGGTGAGATCCGCTTACCTGAGCAGGTAACGCTGGCGTCCTGACTGTGGCTACAGTTGTTGTTTCCATACGATTTTGCCGGGCACTGATCGAGGGCGGCCTCTGCCCCATTACACCTCACGTCAGACAGCCAGACCGGCCCAGTCCCCTGTCCGAAGGCTGCGTTCCCTGTCGCTGACGTGGCCTCTCCACAGTTCAACAGTCTGCAGACGACACTGGCCTCCTCCGTACCCCAGTGATCCCCACACACGCTTCCCCAAGTGGAGTTGTGGAACACCTCGACTCTACCGGAGCACATGTTGTTGCCGTTCACCAGTCTGACCGGCACAGGACCTGGGAGAGAGGGAGTTGAATGGAACTATCAGAAACATCATTCCCCAACTTTCATTCGATTGTGATTGGAGAGCTCCAGGTGGGAGAATGCACCGGTTTGGACACAATAGCCGTAGAGCAGGCAAATGGGATTATAGCGCAGAGCTCGGGGGGTGGGGTTGGGGGAAAGTGGGAGCACTTTTTCCCAATTTATCGCAAGTGATCATTTTGCAGCAATGTGGGGACTCTTCTAACCTGAGCAGGTAACGCCGGTATCTTGACTGTGGCCACAGTCCTTATTTCCGTACGGCTTTGCCGGGCACTGATCGAGGGCTGGTTCTGTCCCATTACACCTCACATCAGATAGCCAGACCGGCCCAGTCCCCTGTCCGAAGACTGCATTCTCTGTCGCTGACGTGGCCTCTCCACAGTTCAACAGTCTGCAGACGACAGTGGCCTCCTCCGTACCCCAGTGATCCCCACACACGCTTCCCCAAGTGGAGTTGTGCAACACCTCGACTCTCCCGGAGCACATGTTGTTGCCGTTCACCACTCTGACCGGCACAGGACCTGGGAGAGAGGGAGACACAATAAACTGCAGTACGGACAGAGTACGTTCTGATACTTAACATGCGTGACGATCGTCAGTAATATGTGTCACCCATCTCTTGTGAAATGCTTCAGGTGACCAAGAGGTTAGCGTATCAATGTTGCTGGGTGATGAGCCTGGCCCTGTCTAGCTGTCTGGCCAGTTCTAGCCACACCTCTGTTGATAAACGTTGTTACATTTACTTACCTGAGCAGGTAACGCCGGCGTCCTGACTGTGGCTACAGTTATTATTTCCGTACGGTTTTGCCGGACACTGATCGAGGGCGGCCTCTGATCCCTCACACCTCACGTCAGACAGCCAGACCGGCCCAGTCCCCTGTCCGAAGGTTGCGTTCCCTGTCGCTGACGTGGCCTCTCCACAGTTCAACAGTCTGCAGACGACATTGGCCTCCTCCGTACCCCAGTGATCCCCACACACACTTCCCCAAGTGGAGTTGTGGAGCACCTCGACTCTCCCGGAGCACATGTTATTTCCATTCACCAGTCTGACCGGCACAGGACCTGGGAGAGAGAGGGAGATGTGCTTGTCGATGAGACCAGTCAAGACACTGAGACTTTTGAATGTCAGATAATAATATAATAATAGCCCTTGCATTTGATATAGTGCCATTTCATGTATTCGAGCCGTCTCAAAGCACTTCGATGGGACCCACACACCTCTGCTGGTCGGTCACACAACTTCACGCAAGCATTAAATACAGAACATCTGTTGTTCAGGATCGAACGGTAAGTCCTTCGGAAGGAGGGACGAGGTTGGCGTTGCTGTCCTAACAGTTTGGTTTGAAGCCAGAATCAGTCACCCATCTCTGACACACGTCTGATGACCAGAGCTTACCTGAGCAGGTAAGGCCTGCGTCCTGACTGTGGCGACAGTTATTATTTCCGTATGGTTTTGCCGGGCAATGATCGAGGGCGGCCTCTGTCCCATTACACCTCACGTCAGACAGCCAGACCGGCCCAGTCCCCTGTCCGAAGGTGGCGTTCCCTGTCGCTGACGTGGCCTCTCCACAGTTCAACAGTCTGCAGACGACATTGGCCTCCTCCGTACCCCAGTGATCCCCACACACACTTCCCCAAGTGGAGTTGTGCAACACCTCGACTCTCCCGGAACACATGTTGTTCCCGTTCACCAGTCTGACCGGCACAGGACCTGGGAGAGAGGGAGACGCAATAAACTAAACTGCAGCGCAGACAGAGTGCGTTCTGATACGTAACATGCGTGACAATCGGCAGTAACGTGTCACCAATCTCTTGTGAATTGCTTCAGGCGACCAAGGGGTTAGCTTGGTAATGCGTCCAAAGGCATGTTGCTGGTTGATGAGCCTTAATAATAATAATAGTAATAATATTAATAATCCTCGCATTTGATATAGCGCTGTTCACGTCTTCCAGATGACTCAAAGCGCTTCACAGAATATTGACTGTGTATTTGTGGGCGAAACACGGCAGCCAATTGCGCAGAGCGGCGTCCCACAAACAGTCGTGGATTGAAAATGACCAATTTGTTGTTGTTTTTTGTAGGGATCATCATCAGGCGTGTGGAGTAAGGAAAATCGACCAAGGTTTCGCCCTGACCTGCCCGGAATTGAACTCGGGTGTCTCGCTTGCAAGGCGAGTGCTCTAACCACTGAGCTACAGGACTCCAGTTTCTAGCCACACCTCCATTCATTACAGATCACCTTTGTAACGTTTACTTACCTGAGCAGGTAACGCTGGCGCCCTGACTGTGGTGACAGGTATTAATTCCATACGGCTTTGCCGGGCACTGATCGAGGGCGGCCTCTGTCCCATTACACCTCACGTCAGACAGCCAGACCGGCCCAGTCCCCTGTCCAAATGTTGTATTCCCTGACGCTGACGTGGCCTCTCCACAGTCCAACAGTCTGCAGACGACATTGGCCTCCTCCGTACCCCAGTGATCCCCACACACACTTCCCCAAGTGGAGTTGTGCAACACCTCGACTCTCCCGGAGCACATGTTGTTGCCGTTCACCAGTCTGACCGGCACAGGACCTGGGAGAGAGGGAGATGTCCTCATCGATGAGACCAGTCAAGCCTTTGAGAAATTGCAAGGTCAGATAATAATATAACATGATAAGAACGCTTGCATTTGATGTAGCGCCTTATCATGTCTTCGAGGCGTCTCAAAGTGCTTAGATGGGACCCACACGCACCTCTGCTGGTCCGTCACACTGTTTTACAGCAGCAGTAAATATAAAACATCTGTTGTTCAGTATCGAACGGTAAGTCTTTCGGAAGGAAGGGGACGAGGTTGACATTGCTGTCCTAACGGTTTGGTTTGAACCCAGTCAGTCACCATCTCTGACACAAGTCTGATGACCAGAGCTTACCTGAGCAGGTAAGGCCGGCGTCCTGACTGTGGCTACAGTTATTATTTCCGTATGGTTTTGCCGGGCACTGATCGAGGGCGGCCTCTGTCCCATTACACCTCACGTCAGACAGCCAGACCGGCCCAGTCCCCTGTCCAAAGGTTGCGTTCCCTGTCGCTGACGTGGCCTCTCCACAGTTCAACAGTCTGCAGACGACATTGACCTCCTCCGTACCCCAGTGATCCCCACACACACTTCCCCAAGTGGAGTTGTGGAGCACCTCGACTCTCCCGGAACACATGTTGTTACCATCAACCAGTCTGACCGGCACAGGACCTGGAAGAGAGGGAGAGGTGAGCGACTGTCCCACATTAACCCTGCTCCATATTTGAATCCCAGGAAGCTGACCCGATGGATGTTGCAGGTCACAGACCCATGTGATACAACGCTGACAACAACAACTTGTGTTTATAGAGCGCCCTTCGCGTGGGGTAGCGTCCCGGAGCGCTTCATGATATTCACGTGAACCGCTTGTCACGGAGCCTTAAACATCTTGCGGTGCTATTTGAGAAGAGAAAAGAGTTTCTCTCCCATCGTCCTGGCTGACAGTGCCCTCCGAGGCCAGTTCGTCAGGATCCCTTGTGCCATTGGAGTATTTTCCCATCTTTTTCTGCCGCAGGTCCTGTGACTCTAATTCTCCAGACCATTCCTTCATATCTCATTTCATAAATCTGCTCCCGGTCCTGCTTGTGTCTCACTTCTCTGTCCGCCTTCTTCTATCAACTAACACAGGCATTTCCCCCAAACTTCGCATCACCATTCGAATGCTACAACTCTAATATCTGGAGCCCTCTGCAGCTCCGGTTAGAGAACCCGCCTCGCACAGCGAGAGGACCTGGGTTTGATTCCCTTCAGGGCGAAACGTTGGGCAAGTCTCCTTACTCCACGTGCACGCCTCTGTTTACGTAGCAGCAAGTAGGAACCCAGTTGTTAGTCGATTGGCGGATCGCTTTTCCAGTGGCAATAATTCTTTCAAAAAGAAACAATAATTTGGTCGCTCAATCTACGACCGTTTCTGGGGACGCTGCTGCTGCGCGCAATTGACTGCCGAAATTTGCCCGCAAAGTACAAAGTCACTACGCTTCACGGTATATCCTGCGACGCGCTTTGAGACGTCTCGAAGACGTGATAAGGCGCTACATCAAATGCAAGGGTTATTATTATTATCTCCGGAACTCCCTGCCTCTCTCACTCTGCCTCCTTCTCTATCAAGCTTTAAATCCCACATTTAAACCAACCTCTTCAACTGTGCGTATGGTCACAGAACCTCCGCCTTGAATATTTCTGTCGCTGTCCACACAGGTTTGGTCTGAACCTGGAATCAGCCACCCATCTCTCGACACGAGTCTGATGACCAGAACTTACCTGAGCAGGTAACGCTGGCGTCCTGACTGTGGCTACAGTTGTTGTTTCCATATGGGTTTGCCGGGCACTGATCGAGGGCGGCCTCTGTCCCATTACACCTCACGTCAGACACCCAGACCGGCCCAGTCCCCTGTCCGAAGGTGGCGTTCCCTGTCGCTGACGTGGCATCTCCACAGTTCAACAGTCTGCAGACGACATTGGCCTCCTCCGTACCCCAGTGATCCCCACACACGCTTCCCCAAGTGGAGTCGTGGAGCACCTCGACTCTCCCGGAGCACATGTTGTTCCCGTTCACCAGTCTGACCGGCACAGGACCTGGGAGAGAGGGAGAGACATTATTCAGAATAATTTGTGATAGTTCCTGCCTTGTGGTGTCCATTTAACACAGTACCTGCAACGTTTCCAAGTGCAACAGAGCTGTCAACACTCACGCAAGTACACACGCGTACCAACGCTCACACACACACACATAACTCACGCAAATATAATTCTCACACACACAAACGCACAATACTCACACACACACACACACACATACCTCCCCCCATCACCTGTTAAGATGCGTAACTCAGGGTTTCCGAATCAAGACTGAATTTAAGAACCGTTCATAATTTCTGCACAATTATAAATGTTAAGGCAAAACGGATTTGAAGCCCGGTCGGAAACCGAGGCCCCTGATGGTGAGATCTCCTTACCTGAGCAGGTAACGCCGGCGTCCTGACTGTGGCTACAGTTATTGTTTCCATACGGTTTTGCCGGGCACTGATCGAGGGCGGCCTCTGTCCCATTACACCTCACGTCAGACAACCAGATCCGCCCAGTCCCCTGACCGAACGTTGCATTGCGGGTCGTTGACGTGGACTTTCCGCAGTTCAACAGATTGCAGACGACATTGGCCTCCTCTGTACCCCAGTGATCCCCACACACGCTCTTCCAAATGGAGTTGTGGAGCACCTCAACTCTCCCGGAGCACATGTTGTTTCCATTCACCAGTCTGACCGGCACGGGACCTGGGAGAGAGGGAAGCAGTCATGAGGACATACTAAGAACATAGGAACAGGAGTATTCCATGCAGCTCCTTGAGCGTGTCCTGCCATTCTAGCCGATCATGGCTGATCTGTACCTCAACACCAATTAGCCGCTATTGTCCCATATTCCATGATACTCTGATCCAACAAACATCCATAGGAACATGGGCAAGAGAACCTGGAGCTGTTGTTGACAGGAGACATGATAGAGGCCTTGAGTAACCAGTTGGTTTGAGTTGGTGAATAAGGAGCATCTTTTCCTCTGGTCAGTGAATCTTGGTAACTAAAACGGAGTCAATTTAACATCATCCGCCAAAAACACAGATGTTATAATAATAATCCTTGCATTTGGCACAGCGCCTTATCACGCCTTCGAGAGCACTTCACAGAATATACTGTAAAGTGAACTGACTGTATACTTTGTGGGCAAAGTGCGGTAGCCAATTGCGCACAGAAGTGTCCCACAAATAGTTGTGAATTAAGTCCAAATTATTATGTATATTTTTTTGAAGGGATTATTACACCCACGAGCAATCCGCCAATCGACTAACTACCAGATCCATAGGTAAACAGAGGCGTGTGTGAGACGAAGGAAACTTGTCCAACATTTTGCTTTGGCACAGAAATTGACCGTCTATAAAGACCATTCAACAAATGTTCTTTGAGGAAGCAATCTATCAGGTTCTGCCCCTAACTCCCCCAACACTTTCTATCCATTCAGTCCCCTGGATACTGCACTTACCTGAGCAGGTAACGCCAGCGTCCTGACTGTGGCTACAGTTATTATTTCCGTAAGGTTTTGCCGGGCACTGATCGAGGGCGGCCTCTGATCCCTCACACCTCACGTCAGACAGCCAGACCGGCCCAGTCCCCTGTCCGAAGGTTGCGTTCCCTGTCGCAGACGTGGCCTCTCCACAGTTCAACAGTCTGCAGACGACATTGGCCTCCTCCGTACCCCAGTGATCCCCACACACGCTTCCCCAAGTGGAGTTGTGGAGCACCTCGACTCGCCCGGAGCACATGTTGTTCCCGTTCACCACTCTGACCGGCACAGGACCTGGAAAGGGGCACAGAGGGGCTTTAGTTATGAGAGTAGATTGGAAACAATGCATCTGTTTTCTTTGGAGCAGAGAAGCTTGTATATGAGGCGATCTGATAGAGATGTACAAAATAATAATAATATAATAATAATTTATGGAATTCACTCCCCCAGAAGGCTGTAGATGTCAGTCCTTGAACATCTTCAAGGTGGAGACTGATAGATTTTTTAAAAATAGAGGGATTAGGGGATATGGGGATAGGGCGGGTAATTAGACTTAGGTCAGAAGATCACCCATGATCTTATCGAATGGCGGAGCACAGGCTCGAGGGGCCGAATGGCCCACTACTGCTCCTAATTCTTATGTTCTTATGTTCTTATGTAATCATTGGATTTGGTATAGTGCCTTATCACGTCATTGAGATGTCTCAAAGCGCTTCACAGGATAGACTGTAAAGTGAATTTGAGGTTTTGACAGGGAAAATAGAGGTATCAGTGACTGGAGGGCATATAGATTAGTTAGCCACAAGAAGGTCTTCAGGGGTGAGGGCGCAGGGTCAGGAGAGAATGCGCAGGGTCAGGGGTGAGAGAGCAAACATGTCCAAACACCTGCCTGAGCACCTCACCTGAGCAAGTAAGGCTGAGATCCTGGCTGTGGCTACAGTGATGGTTCCACCAAGAGTCTGAGGAACATCGGTTTGGAGCAATCATGTGAATACACCTGACGTCAGACAGCCAGACCGGTCCAGTCCCCTGTCCGAAGGCTGCATTCCCTGTCGCTGACGTGGCCTCTCCACAGTTCAACAGTCTGCAGATGACATTGGCCTCCTCTGTATCCCAATCATCCCCACATACGCTTCCCCAAGTGGAGTTGTGCAACACCTCGACTCTCCCGGAGCACATGTTGTTACCGTCGACCAGTCTGAGCGGCACAGGACCTGGGAGAGAGGAAGGAATACTGAGAGTTTGGAATAATTTGGGAGAGGTCATAAAACCAATTGCAATGATTCTCAATCCACAAGGAAGATAAAGATCTTCCACTTCGCCACTCATAGAGTAAAGTGTCCGAGCCAAAAATTGGCCACATCAGCTTTTTGCGGAGATGTCACTGTGTGCAAATTGGTTTCCATGTTGGGCCACAAGACAGAGTCACTACACTTTACAGTGAAGATGTCCCCTGATGTGAACGGCGCTGGGTCAGAGGTGAGAATTTTTAAATAAAATCTGGAGGTTGGATTCCGTTGCCCAATAGGATTAGCATTGGTATTGGGGTAATGGTTGGAATTGGGGTAAGGATTAGGGTTAGGGATGAATCCAATATAACGACACTGGATGAGATGCAGTTGGGTACCGCTCTTACCTGAGCAGATGACACTGGTGTCCTGATGGTGGGAGCAGGTATTGTTAGCCAAGGGTTTGGTGAGACATTGATCCAGGGAACCCTCCGCACCGTTACACCTCACTCCGTCCAGCCACACCGTCCCATTCCCTCTTCCGAAGAACGCCCCACTGGGAGCCGACGCAGCCTCTCCACAGTTCAGCTCCCGGCAGACCACGTCCCCGTCCTTCTTGTCCCACTCGGCGTCGCACATGGTCCCCCAGGAGGAGGCGTAAAGGATTTCCACTCTGCCCGAGCACATGGTGTTCCCCCCACCAGCCTGACCGGCAACCGTCCTGGGAACAAGTCATTGCAACATAGAAAATATACTCGCACGGCCATCACACCCCATCACACCAGCCCTCACACCCCCATCACACCAGCCCTCACACCCCCATCACACCGGCCCTCACACCCCATCACACCAGCCCTCACACCCCATCACACCAGTCCTCACACCTCCCCCATCACACCGGTTCTCACCCCCCCATCAAACCAGTCCTCACCCCCCCATCATACCAGCCCTCACACCCCATCATACCAGCCCTCACCCCTCCCATCAAACCAGTCCTCACATCCCCATCACACCAGCCCTCACACCCCCAAATCAACCTATCCGCTTCCTCTGCTCAGCGGGCTCCAGTCTGCTCCGCATCCCCCGCCCGCCCACCCGACCATTGGCAGGTGGTCCTTCAGCTCCCACCCTTTGGAACTCCATCCCACATTTCCTTCGCCTCACTCCCTCTCTTGCTTCCTTGAAGGCAGGTATCAATCGCAACTTCGACCCCACCTTCGGCCTCCCTCCTATGCCCACCCTACCCGCCCTCCATCCCTCCTGATCCCAACCACCAGCTCGGGTGTGGATCCCTAACTGCCAGCGCCTTGGACAAGACCTCCTGATGTGAAATTTTGTATTGTGTCACCAGTCCTCACACCCCCATCACACCAATCGTCGCACGCCCATCACCCCAGTCCTGAGCAGACAGCACATCTCACCTGAGCAGATGGCTGTGGCTCCTTGGGGGTGGGAGCAATTGTTCGCACTCTGGTCACTTGTGACACACTGATCCAGGTCAGACTCAGACCCATTGCACTTCACATGGAGCCCCCCTGGCTTCGACTTGAAGGCTGTGGAGGCTGACACAGCCACTCCACAGTTGAGTTGCCGGCACAGGACAGTGACAGCCTGGAGGTCCCAGTGATCCCGGCAAATCCCAGACCAGGAGGAGTTACGGAACAGCTCAACCGTCCCCGAGCAGCGAGTGTAACCGTGAACCAGTCGTGGGGGCACAGGACCTGCGGACAAATAAGTTCTTGTCTAACATTACATTGCTCTTCTCAAAGAGCCGGCATAGAACTCGATGGGCCGAATGGCCTCTTTTTGTGCTGTACGATTCTATGATTCTATAATTATGTTCTTATGTAAGTGCACCAAATGCAAAAATACCTAATATTATTGTTGGTATCATACAGTACCTGAACATTGGACATCAACAACATGAGTGTAGCTGTGCTGACCCCATGGGTCTGCAGGACATTGGTCAAGCGAATTCTCCAGCCCAGAGCAGTTCACTTTGTTCAACCAGATCTGCCCACTGGCTTGGCTGGCGGAGACGGTTGAGGTCAATGACGTGGGGTCTCCACAGCTCAGCTGTCGACAAACGACCCGAGCATCCTCCGTGTCCCACCCGTCGCTGCAGACGCTGCCCCAAGTGGAATTGTGAAAGATCTCGACCCTCCCTGAGCAGATGGTGTCTCCGTTCGCCAGCCTCACGGGCTGGGGCCCTGCAACCAAACACACAGAGCATCAGGTCAGAGTAAACTCAGCGCACAATCAGTCACTACTTCATAACCCCACTGGCGCTCTCTAACCCCATTTCCCCACAGCCACCAACTGAGCCAGGCTGACACCCAGCGACTGAGCCACACGCTGACATATAATAACCATCAACCACTACATATACAGTCACTCCACTTTGCAGTGTATCCCATGAAGTGCTTTGAGACGTCTCGAAGACGTAATAAGGTGCTGTGTCAAATGCAAGGATTATTATCATTAAATATTAATATTTGCGCATTCACCAGATGAAGCCAAACCCCACTCACCTGAACAGGTAATAACAGCCACCTGACTGTGGCTGCAGTTACTTTCTCCATATAAGCTCGAACAGCAGTGATCGAGGGCGGCTTCTGTCCCTTCGCAGCTCACGTCAGATAGCCAGATCAGCCCACTCCGCTCTTCTGTTGTTGTGGACAGGACAGTCCCACACTTCAACACTCTGCAGACAACGCTGGCCTCCTCCGTACCCCATCTTTCCCCACACACGCTTCCCCAAGTGGACTTGTGCAACACCTCGACTCTCCCGGAGCACATGTTGTACCCGTTCACCAGTCTGACCGGCACGGGACCTGGGAGAGAGGGAGGGAGAGAGAAAGAGAGAGGCAAATGTGTAAGTACTGATTTTGGTCCTGATGCACCGACTGGAGGACATTAGTTGAATCCTGTAGCTTCGTGGTTAGAGCACTTGCCTCGCAAGCGAGAGGACCTGTGCAATCGCCCATGAAATATACAGTCACTGCACTTTGCAGTACATTCTGCAAAGTGCTTTGAGACATCTCAAAGATGTGATAGAGCGCAGGGTTTATTACAATTCACAGTCAATTCGGTTTACTGCATATTCTGTGGGCGAAACGCGACAGCCAATTGCTCAGAGCAGTGTTTCACAAACAGTCGTGGTTTGGGCGCCCAACTTATTTTTTTGTGAAGGAATTATTAGCCCCAGAAAAGCGATCCGCCAATCGACTAACAACAGGCTTCCTACTTACTGGGTAAACAGAGGCGTGTGGATAAAGGAAACTTGCCCAACGTTTCGCCCTGCTGGGCATCGAACCCAAGTCCTCTCGCTTGAGTGCTCTAACCACTGAGCTACAGGATTCCACAGCTCTAAGTACAAGGTGTCAAACTGAAGCCTCTTTCCTGCGTTCACTGACCTGAGCAGGTAACCATAACATGATTACGGTTACAGTTATTGCCATTTCCATACGACTTTGTCAGGCACTGATCGAGGGCGGCCTCTGTCCCATTACACCTCACGTCAGACAGCCAGACCGGCCCAGTCCCCTGTCCGAAGGCTGCGTTCCCTGTCGCTGACGTGGCCTCTCCACAGTTCAACAGTCTGCAGATGACATTGGCCTCCTCCGTACCCCAGTGATCCCCACACACGCTTCCCCAAGTGGAGTTGTGCAACACCTCGACTCGCCCGGAGCACATGTTGTTGCCGTTCACCAGTCTGACCGGCACAGGACCTGGGAGAGAACGAGAAACATAAGAAACATAGAAACAGAAGGAGGCCATTCAGCCCCTCGAGCCTGTTCTGCCATTCTGTAAGATCGTAGCTGATCTGTACCTCAAGTCCAATTACCTGCCCTTACCCCATATCCCTTAACACTCTGACCCAACAAACATCTATCCACCTCAGTCATGAAGATGTGAATGGATCCAGCCTTTGGGGAAGGGAGAGAGTTCCAGATTTCCATTAAACCTTTGGGTGAAAAACTGCCCCTGATTTCACTCTTAAAATAGCATGGCTCTAATTTTAAGATGATGCCCCCCTTGTTCTGGATTCCCCCTACCCACCAGAGGAAATAGTTTCTCTGTATCTACCCTATCAAATCCCTTTATTATTTCAAAAGCCTCAATCAGATCATCCACCCCTGAATCTTCTGAACTCAAGGTTCATCCGGAATATGAGTAGTGCCTCCTTCAAAGCACGTCTCAAGACTCTTCGACTGTGCCTTCGGCCACATTCCTACCCTCTCTGCCCTCCAACCTCTCTTGATCCCAAACCCCACCCCGCTCAGGTGTAATCCCTGACTGTTCGGTGCCTTGGGACGTCCTGACGTGAAAGGCGCTTTACAAATCTAAATCTGTGTTGTATTGGCAAGTAGCATTCCTGTGCGGTGGAAGAAGATTCGATAGTTACTTTCAAAAAGGGAATTCGATAGGTACTTAAAAAGGAAAAATGTGCAGGGTTATCGGGTAAGCGCAGGGGTTTGGGACTAGTTGGTAGTTCTTTCTTAGAGCCGGGCCCATTGGCCTCCTTCTGTGCTGTAAGATTCTATGATTCTATGACTCTATGATAGTCTTACCTGAGCAGGTAACCCCAGCATCTTGCCCATGGTGACAGCTGTGGACCCAATACGCTTTTGTAGAGCATTGATCAATTGAAGTCTCTGTGCCGTCACACCTCACGTCAGACAGCCAGACCGGCCCAGTCCCCTGTCCGAAGGTGGCGTTCCCTGTCGCTGACGTGGCCTCTCCACAGTTCAACAGTCTGCAGACGACATTGGCCTCCTCCGTACCCCAGTGATCCCCACACACGCTTCCCCAAGTGGAGTTGTGGAGCACCTCGACCCTCCCGGAGCACACGTTGTTGCCGTTCACCAGTCTGACCGGCACAGGACCTGGGAGAGAGGGAGAGATGAGAAACAGCAGCCAAGGATGTCAGTGATTATCCCCACAGTTTGTTATAACAGTCTCTCATATGGTACTTTATGAAAGGCATTATGGACCTTTAAGTACACAATTTGTTAGTTTAATTTGTCGTTTGTCATGTTTTGTCTACAATTTACAGTCAATTTATCTTTCAGTATATCCCGTGAAGCACTTTGAGATGTCTCGAAGATGTCATAAGGCGCTATATCAAATGCAAGGATTATTATTATTATTATCATCATCATCATTATTAAGACTGTGAGCTCAAAGTGATGACATGGAGTTTAGAACCCCAAATCTTCGAAATCAGTGCCATATGGCAAGCAATTGACCCGGGCTTTTCAGGGTGAATCTATTCTGAGGTTAGTTATCAGCCGCTCTTACCTGAGCAGATGACACTGGCGTCCTGATGGTGGGAGCAGGTATTGTTAGCCAAGGGTTTGGTGAGACATTGATCCAGGGAACCCTCCGCACCGTTACACCTCACTCCGTCCAGCCACACCGTCCCATTCCCTCTCCCGAAGAACGCCCCACTGGGAGCCGACGCAGTCTCTCCACAGTTCAGCTCCCGGCAGACCACGTCCCCGTCCTTCTTGTCCCACTCGGCGTCGCACACGGTCCCCCAGGAGGAGGCGTAAAGGATTTCCACTCTGCCCGAGCACATGGTGTTCCCCCCCACCAGCCTGACCGGCAACCGTCCTGGGAACAAGTCATTGCAACATAGCAAAATATACTCGCACGGCCATCACACCCCATCACACCGGCCCTCACACCCCATCACACCAGCCCTCACACCCCATCACACCCCATCACACCAGGCCTCCCCATCACACCAGGCCTCCCCATCACACCAGGCCTCCCCATCACACCAGGCCTCCCCCACCCATCATACCAGCCCTCACACCCCATCAAACCAGCCCTCACACCCCCATCACACCTGTCCTCACACCCCATCACATCAGTCCTCACACCCCCATCACACCAATCATCGCACGCCCATCACCCCACCTGAGCAGACGGCTGTGGCTCCTTGGGGGTGGGAGCAATTGTTCGCACTCTGGTCACTTGTGACACACTGATCCAGGTCAGACTCAGACCCATTGCACCTCACATGGAGCCCCCCTGGCCGCGACTCGAAGGCTGTGGAGGCTGACACAGCCACTCCACAGTTGAGTTGCCGGCACAGGACAGTGACAGCCTGGAGGTCCCAGTGATCCCGGCAAATCCCAGACCAGGAGGAGTTATGGAACAGCTCAACCGTCCCCGAGCAGCGAGTGTAACCGTGAACCAGCCGTGGGGGCACAGGACCTGCGGACAAATAAGTTCTTGTCTAAAAATAATTTGGTCACTCAATCCACAACTTTGTTTCGCCCACAAAAATACACAGCCACTACACTTTACGGTGTATCCTGTGAAGACGTGATAAGGCCTTGTATCAAATGTAAGGATTATTATTGTTCCAGTGTGTGCAGAAAATCCATGCGACTCAGTTGGGGTCAGACACTGTCCTTTCATCTTCATTGGGGAACCCGCAGAAAATCATAGCCCAGACATAAGAGGTGAGCATCTCCTCTCTCTGATGGGCATCAGAGAGATTGGGCATCCTCACTTCTTGATCGAGGACTTTGCAAGTGGGTCAGAGGAAGTCTTTCTGCTCGACGCCCAGGAGCTCGGATAGATAAAGAAGGACTGTCTAACACAGTTCTTTCTCTGCCACAAGCTGGACCTGCCTTGGGACCTTGCTGTCCTTGAAGAAGGACGAACAATACCAGTATGCCGTTCACCCCCTTCTCAGCCCGATCCTTCAGGACGTTGTCCAAGCAAAGGTTGGTAGTCCACCAAGATTCCCAAGAACAGAATAAATGATTGGGACTGATGCCCCGTTTTATCTTCCAATCAATTCCTTCGTTGGCTTCTCTTGGAGAACCATGATTCTGCCCACCACCATCCTCGTTTGACTCCACTGGCTCCCTGTCCCCCAGAGGATACAGTTCAAGATCTTGGTCCTCACCTTCAAAGCCTTCCCCCCACGACCTTGCTCCTCCTTACCTCTGTGATCTCCTATCAACCTGGGCTGCAGCTCAGCCCACACCGCCAACAGCGGTCAGAAAGTCAGCCTTTCTGCCCCACAACCTCTGGAACTCCATCCCAAGGTCCCTCCACCTCACCCCCTGACTTGCCTCCTTCAAAACCCATCTCAAGACCCTCCTCTTCAACCGTGCCTTCGGTCACCCTCCTACCCTTACCCTCCCCGCCTCCTCCACCCCCTCCTGATCCCAACCACCAGCTCAGGTGCAGACCCCTGACTGTCCAGCGCCTTGGGACGTCCTCCTGGCATGAAAGGCGCTGTGTAAATGTAATGTGTTGTTGTTGGCCCAGTGTTTAAATCAAAGTACATCAAATGTAAATATTATTAGTATTATTATCCAGTACCTGAACATTGGACACCAACAACATGAGTGCAGCTGTGTTGACCCCATGGGTCTGCAGGACATTGGTCAAGTGAATTCTCCGTCCCAGAGCAGTTCATTTTCTTCAACCAGATCTGACCACTGGCTTGGCTGGGGGAGACGGGTGAGGTCAATGACGTGGCGTTTCCACAGCTCAGCTGTCGACAAACGACCCGAGCATCCTCCGTGTCCCACCCGTCCCTGCAGACGCTGCCCCAAGTGGAATTGTGAAAGATCTCGACCCTCCCTGAGCAGATGGTGTTTCCGTTCGCCAGCCTCACGGGCTGGGGCCCTGCGTCCAAACACACAGAGCATCAGGTCAGAGCAAACTCAGTACAAAATAGTCATTGCTTCCCTCCCCACTATTGGTGGTCGGGCGATCAGGCATCTCTGTCCCCACACTCTGGAACTCTATCCCACAATCCCTCCATCTCAACTCCTTCAAGTCCCATCTAAAGATCTTTCTCTTCGATTGTGCCTTCACCCACCCACCCATCCTCTCGCCTCCCTGCCCTCCGACCTGCTGAACCCAACTCCCAGCTCGGATCCAAAACCCCGATCGTTCAGTGCCCTGTGACATCCTTCCGAAGTGTAATCTGTTGTTGTTGCGGCATTCGAACCCCATTCTTTCGTCGTATCCATGCTCGTGCCCATGGCCCACCTCCTAAGGATGCTTGTAACCATGTATTGTAATCACATCAGGTAAAGTATCTAACTGATCTGCAGAGGAACCGTTTGGGTTGCTTAACAGCTGGGAATTTAGTATAGATACCTGAGCAGATAACACTGGTGTCCTGACTGTGGCTACAGTTATTATTTCCATATGGGTTTGCCGGGCAATGATCGAGAGCAGCCTCCACCCCATTACACCTCATGTCCGACAACCAGATCTGCTCAGTCCCCTGTCCAAAGGGTGTGTTGACCGGCGTTGATAAAACCGTGCCACAGTTCAACAGTCTGCAGACGACACTGGCCTCCTCCGCACCCCAATGATCCCCACACACGCTCCCCCAAGAGGAGTTGTGGAACACCTCCAGTCTCCCCGAGCACATGTTGTTACCGTTCACCAGTCGGACTGGTATGGGACCTGTTAGGAGAGACAGAGAGAGAGAGAGGGGTGTTCATCGATGAGACCATCAAAGGCATTGAGAGCTTTGAGTCTAGATGCAACATACATTACAATACAAAATTACGTCCCAAGGCACACACACCTCCTTTGGTCGGGGGGGGTCGGTTGATCGGTCACAGAATGCTGCTTCAACAAACATCTTACTACAATCGCTCCTTACCTGAGCAGGTAACGCTGGCGTCCTGACTGTGGTGACAGGTATTAATTCCATACGGTTTTGCCGGGCACTGATCGAGGGCGGCCTCTGTCCCATTACACCTCACGTCAGACAGCCAGACCGGTCCAGTCCCCTGTCCGAAGCTTGCGTTCCCTGTCGCTGACGTGGCCTCTCCACAGTTCAACAGTCTGCAGACGACATTGGCCTCCTGCGTACCCCAGTGATCCCCACACACTGTTCCCCAAATGGTGTCGTGCAACACCTCGACTCTCCCGGAGCACATGTTGTTACCGTTCACCAGTCTGACCGGCACAGGACCTGCGAGAGAGGGAGGGAGGAATGTTCAAGACATTGGAGATATAGACATCTCCTCAACCCAAGGCTCTGCAGATGAGTGACCATCTTTTCTGGCCAGTTGATAACATCTAAAGGGGGTATCATGTGAGCCAAGGTCCTGTCTAAATACTGCTCCAAAACACCTGGTAATAAAATTTCTCCTTACCTGAGCAGGTAACGCCAGCATCCTGACTGTGCCTATAATTATTGTTATTTTTGTATGGGTAAGCCAGGCACTGATCGAGGGCGACCTCTGTCCCATTACACCTCACGTCAGACAGCCAGACCGGCCCAGTCCCCTGTCCAAATGCTGCGTTCCCTGTCGCTGACGTGGCCTCTCCACAGTTCAACAGTCTGCAGACAACATTGGCCTCCTCCGTACCCCAGTGATCCCCATGCACACTCTCCCAAGTGGAGTTGTGGAGCACTTCGACTCTCCCGGAGCACATGTTGTTACCGTTCACCAGTCTGACCGGCACGGGACCTGGGAGAGAGAGAGAGAGAGGTTGTAAAAATATGGCTGGACTAGGATTAGAGAAGGCCATGCTAATTAATGATCCCATCTACTGACCGGTTGCAATCTGTCATTGTCTACACATTTGCAAGGTGTTACCACAGATATAGAGATAAGATGTAGAGAGACCAGCATCCAATTAGTAAAAGGTAGACAGACGTAGCCAGTACTCAATTAGTGAGATGTCCTTGACCATCAAAGACTCAAGGAAAGATAAAGATGTCCTGATAACATTGATGGATAGTCGAAATGCTCATTAACTTGGTGTCTTGTAGGAACCTGGTCCAAGGGACCTCTAGATTAGGGGTGATCTCAGGGTTCTGTAGTAAGACAAGTAGAGTATATAAGGAAGGGAGTTTCTAGCAATCATTTGGAGCAGAACAGTCAGAGAATACTGATGCTACCCTTACAATTGTGTAGACTGATCACCTATACTATTGTTGTAAACTTTGATTACTGTACGATACGCTTCGAGTACATCTGTTGTTCGGGATTGACTGTGTAAACCCGTCCGAAGGAAGAGGCGAGTTCGACAGCATCTCAGACAATGCAGAGTTTACTAGCAGTGGGGCCTGGACTGTGAGCTCAAAGTCCCCGATGTGGGGCTTGAACCCACAGTCATGCCGCCCGTCACGCAGGCTTCACAAAGGGCAATGGAAATCCGGGAGTGGGGATGGGAGGAGGTTGGGGGGAATTCAAGGGAACAGAGCAGATTAACGGCAACCAGGAGAGCATCAATAATACCATTAGGATCAAATTCACAATGGCGTAGCCTCACCTGAGCAGGTGATGGTAGCGACCTGTCTGTCGTTACAGCTGTTTGTATTCCACGGGTTACTGGAACACTGATCGACGGCAGCCTCTGTCCCCTCGCACCTCAGGTTAGACAGCCAGATCGGGCCGGTGTCATTTCCGAAGGTTGCGTTCACGGTCGCTGACCTGGCCCCCCCACAGTTCAGCGCTCTGCAGACAACGCTGGCTCCCTTCTTATCCCAGCGGTCCCCACACACGCTTCCCCAAGTGGAGTTGTGGAGCACCTCGACTCTCCCGGAGCACATATTGTTCCCGTCCACCAGTCTGACCGGCACAGGACCTGATAGGGAGGGAGGGAGGAATGACTTTGGCTTAGGTTCAATAATAATCCTTGCATTTGGTAAAGCACCTTCTCATGGTTGCATTTTCTGCCACTACGCCCCAAAACATTGGTCACACTCTCCCTCTAACCCTTCCTCCTCGTTGCCCCCTTCCATCCCCATCTTCAGGTCACACTTGAAGACTTTCCCATTGGACTATGCCTATGGTCACCGCCCGTCTTCCTCCCCTTGGATTAGTGTTGTTCCCCGCCACTGTCAAGCGCTCCAGGATGTTACCCTGAGTGAGGGGCACTGTGTAAGTACAAGTTGTTGTAGTTTTTGCTAGTGATTCATCACAAAGTATCTAGGTGGTGCACCTATTTGACGGCCAAACCCTACTTTACCCTTGATACAACCATCTTTGCTGCCAGGTCCAGTGGGGTTCCGTTATCAGGAAGTTCAACTGTATTAGGGAAAAGAGGGCTGGTGAGATCTCCTTACCTGAGCAGATAATGCCGGCGTCCTGACTGTGGTGACAGTTGTTGTTTCCGTATGGTTTTGCCGGGCACTGATCGAGAGCGGCCTCTGTCCCATTACACCTCACGTCAGACAGCCAGACCCGCCCGGTCCCCTGTCCAAACGTTGCGTTCCCTGTCGCTGACGTAGCGTCACCACAGTTCAACAGTCTGCAGACGACACTGGCCTCCTCCATACCCCAGTGATCCCCACACACACTTCCCCAAATGGAGCTGTGCAACACCTCGACTCTCCCGGAGCACATGGTTTGGCCATCCACCAGTCTGATCGGCACAGGACCTGGGAGAGAGGTGGTGAGTGACTTAGGATTTCTATCACAATGTAAACTGAGTGTTTTTCCTGAGAGCTTTTCTGGGTGAATCTCACTCATCCCCTAATTTGGTCACTCAATCAACCCACGGCTCTTTGTGGGGACGCTGCTGTGCGCAATTGGCTGTCGCGTTTCGCCCACAAAACATACAGTCAATTCACTTTACAGTGTATCCCGTGAAGAGCTTTGAGAAGTCTCGAAGACGTGATAAGGCGCTGTATCAAATGAAAGGATTATTATTATTATTATTATCCCAGTACTTCCTAATCAAAGCATTACCCAGTTGGGTGATTGACGTCTGACACTCTCACTGTCTGACTGTCTGGTGTCTGACCAGCTGACTGTCCAGCAAGTGGTGACGCTCTCACCGTTGACCACAATTTTCTCCTTCACCCTCTGTTAGCTTCACTCACTGACAAGTTGGTGGCGCAGAAAAATCCAACTCACCTGAGCAGATAACGCCGGCGTCCTGACTGTGGCTACAGTTATTGTCATTTCCATATGGTTTTGCCGGGCACTGATCGAGGGCGGCCTCTGCCCCATTACACCTCACGTCAGACAGCCAGACCGGCCCAGTCCCCTGTCCGAAGGCTGCATTGCCAGTCGCTGACGTGGCCTCTCCACAGTTCAACAGTCTGCAGACGACATTGGCCTCCTCCGTACCCCAGTGATCCCCACACACAGTTTCCCAAGTGGAGTTGTGGAGCACCTCGACTCTCCCGGAGCACATGTTGTGGCCGTCCATCAGTCTGACCGGCACAGGACCTGGGAGCGAGGAGATGTATTAGGAGATTGTGGACGCTGCTGTGCGCAATTGGCTGCCGCATTTTGCTCACAAAATATGCAGTCAATTCACTCTACAGTGTATCCTGTGAAGCGCTTTGAGACGTTTCGAAGACGTGATAAGGCGCCGTATCGAATGGAAGGATTATTATTATTGTCTGGAATCATCCTGGGACAAACTGCCTCAAGGACGTGACTAAATGATCCGCAAACCGTGAACGAAACCCAGAATTTTGCAGCTCATATCTTCACCCTCACCAAACTAGGACTTGCCCATCGCCCAGTCCTCAACAGTCACCCTATCCCACAGTCTTTCTGACGTGAAGGGCACAAAACAAGTGTAATTTGTAGTTGTTGTGGAGTAATTTCAATCAGTCCCATCGGTCTCTCCATCTCCCACTGTAACAATTTCAAGCTCAACCTCACATACAAATCCCTTCACTCCCATGGACCTCTTTACCTCTCTGATCTACTCCTGCCCCACTCCTCTGCCATCCCCTCTGCTCAGATAACACAGCTAACCCTCTTTGTGCCAACATCAGCAGCCACCCTCCCCCATCCACCCTTTGCCCTCCACCTTCCTCGATTCTAACCCCAATTTCGGGTGCAAACCCTTCCCTGTGCAGCTCCTTTGAATGTCCTCCTGGACATGAAAGGCACTGTGTGAATGCAATTTCTTACTGTTGATTCCTTCTGGCATTAAAGGCGTCCCCGGCAATAATAATGCAGTGCTTAAGAACTCCGGAACTCTACCTCGCACTGAAGGGCACTATATAAATGCAAGTTGTAGTTGTTGTTGCTTTCCCAGTACTGTATTGCAGTGTCAGCCTAGGTTGCCGTTTCCTATGAACTTGAACTACAGGCCCACAAGACCAACACAGCTGCAAAACTCCTTACCTGAGCAGGTAACCCCAGCATCCTGCACGTGGCTACAGCGGTCCACCCCATATGGACTCGTAGAGCATTGATCAATTGAAGCCTCTGTGCCCTCACACCTCACGTCAGACAGCCAGATCGGCCCAGTCCCCTGTCCGAAGCTTGCGTTGCCTGTCGCTGACGTGGCCTCTCCACAGTTCAACAGTCTGCAGATGACATTGGCCTCCTCCGTACCCCAGTGATCCCCACACACGCTTCCCCAAGTGGAGTCGTGGAGCACTTCGACTCTCCCGGAGCACATGTTATTGCCGTTCGCCAGTCTGACCGGCACAGGACCTGGGAGAGAGGGAGAGATGAGAAACAGCAGCCAAGGATGTCGGTGATTAGACCCAAGTTTGTTATAACATATGGTACTTTATCAAAGGTGTTATGGACTTTTAGGTACACAATGGGAGGGATTTGTTAGTTTATACAGTGAATTCATTTTCCGGTGTATCCTGTGAAGCACTTTTGAGACATCTCGAAGACGTGATAAGGCGCTATATCAAATGCAAAATAATATTATTATTATTATTATTATGACTGTGAGCTCAAACTTCTGAGAGGGAGTTTTGAACCCCAAATCTTGCCATATGGCAAGCAGTTCTGCCTCTATTCTGAGGTTAGTTATCAGCCGCTCTTACCTGAGCAGATGACACTGGCGTCCTGATGGTGGGAGCAGGTATTGTTAGCCAAGGATTTGGTGAGACATTGATCCAGGGAACCCTCCGCACCGTTACACCTCACTCCGTCCAGCCACACCGTCCCATTCCCTCTCCCGAAGAACGCCCCACTGGGAGCCGACGCAGCCTCTCCACAGTTCAGCTCCCGGCAGACCACGTCCCCGTCCTTCTTGTCCCACTCGGCGTCGCACACGGTCCCCCAGGAGGAGGCGTAAAGGATTTCCACTCTGCCTGAGCACATGGTGTTCCCCCCCACCAGCCTGACCGGCAACCGTCCTGGGAACAAGTCATTGCAACATAGCAAAATATACTCGCACGGCCATCATCAACAACCACAAATTATACTTGTGTAGCCCACTCCAGGTCGAAAAAGCGTCCCAGGGCATTGTTTTTTTTTACCCTAAGCTGGGAGTTGGGGTCAGAAGGGGTGGAGGGCAGAGGGGCAGGGGGTGGTGGGGATGGAGTTGGTGGATGGAAGAAGGCACAGTCGAAGAGGAAGGTCTTTAGACTGGACTTGAAGGAGGCACGAGAGGGGGTGAGGTGGAGGCATTGCGTGATAGAGTTCCAGAGTGTGGGGGCAGAGATGTTGAATGCCCAATCCCCAATCATATCTCATCTGACCAGCCCTCAAACCCCCATCACACCCCAATCTCTGCGCACCCATCACACGAGTCCTGAGTTTTGTGCGGGTGAGATCCCGGGAAGTAGAGTTTGGAATTAATTGTATGCTGTATATGGTGGAGCTGGGGAGACCAGTGAGGAGGGCTTTGGAATAGTCCAGCCTGGAAGTGACAAAGACGTGGATGAGGGTTTCGGCTGCTTTTGTTGATGGTCAGGGAATGGATGTGTGGTAGAAAGGAAAGCTGGGAATCGAACCTGATGCCTAAGTTGCACATGGGTTCGGTGAGTCTGAAGGAGAGCCCAGGAGAGATTGAGGAGTTCAGACCCGTAGGGAGAGAAATGTTGGTGGGAGCCAATGAATATGGCTTCCGTCTTGCCAACGTTCCTCTTACCTGAGCAGACGGCTGTGGCTCCATGTGGGTAGACGCAGTTGCTCACTTTCTGGTCACTTGTGACACACTGATCCAGGTCAGACTCAGTCCCATTGCATCTCACATGGAGCTCCCCGGGCTGCGACTCGAAGGCTGTTGAGGCTGACAAAGCCACTCCACAGTTGAGTTGCCGGCACAGGATGGTGACAGCCCGAAGGTCCCAGTGATCCTGGCAAAGCCTGAACCAGGAGGAATTACGGAACAGCTCAGCCGTCCCCGAGCACCGAGTGTAACCGTGAACCAGCCGCGGGGGCACGGGACCTGTGGACACACGCAAACAAACATGGTCACTTATTTGTTATTGGATTCAATGGATAGAAACATTGAAACACAGAAGATGGATTGAGGTGTGAGAGGCAGATAGTTATGTAGGAAGTAAAGGGATTAAGAGTTGTAGAGACAAGGAGGGCAATAAGATTGAAAGACATGCCCCGATGAGCAACAATTTGTCGTTTGTGGAAACAACTTACACATTGAGAGGACGTTTCAAGGCGCTATACAGTGTAGAATTTGTACCCAAGCCAGGGGTTGGGGTTGGAGGGAATTAAAGGGGGGAAGGGTGGTGTAGGTGGAAGGATGACCAAAGGCACGGTCAAAGTGTAAGGTCTTCAGACTGCCCTTGAAGGAGGCAAGGGAGGAGTGAGTCAGAGAGGTTCTGGGATAGAGTTCTAGAGGGTATGGAGGGAGGCCTGACCGCCAATAGTGGTGTGGGCAGGGCAGGGGCTGGGAATGTGAAGCAAGCCAGTGCCCGTCGAGCGGAGGGATAAATGGCATGGGAAAATTATTATTTTTATTATTATAAAATGGCGAGACCTGTAAACCTCTGGTTGTACCTGAACACTTGACACCAACATCATCCTCGTGATTGCAGTTGTGCTGACCCCATGGGTTGGCCGGACATTGGTCAAGCGAATTCTCCGTCCCAACGCATCTCACTTTCATCAACCAGATCTGATCGATGGCTTGGCTGGCGGAGACGGGTGCGATCGATAGCGTGGGGTCTCCACAGCTCAGCTGTCGACAAACGACCCGAGCATCCTCCGTGTCCCACCCGTCCCTGCAGACGCTGCCCCAAGTGGAACTGTGAAAGATCTCGACCCTCCCTGAGCAGATGGTGTCTCCGTTCGCCAGCCTCACGGGCTGGGGCCCTGCAACCAAACACACAGAGCATCAGGTCAGAGTAAACTCAGCGCACAATCAGCCGCCCCTCCGCTCTAACCTCGTAGAGTAATAAGAATAATCCTCACATTTCATATAGCACCTTATCACATCCTCAAGACGTCTCAAACAGAATATGTTGTCAAGTGAATTGACTGTGTATTTTTGGGGGCGAAATGCGCACAGCCGTATCCAACAAATAGTCGTGGATTGAGTGGCCAAATTATTATTGTTATTATTATTTTGAAGGGATTTTTACCCCCAGAAAGGCAATCCACCAATCGACGAGCAACTGGGTTCCTACGTACCGCTCAGTAAACAGAGGCGTGTGGAGTAAAATACAATAAAAATTTACGTTTGTGTAGCGCAAATGTCAGGAGGATGTCCCAAGCACTGGACAGTCAGCGATTGGAGTAAGGAAACTTGCCCAATGTTTTGCCCTGACCCACCCGGAAATGAAACCCAGATCCTCGCGCTTGCGAGGCGGAACACTGGACACCAGTGTTGTCTGAGACATAAGGAAATCCACCAAGTGCAAGGATATTATTATTATTATTATTATTATTAAATTCTCTCCTTACCTGAGCAGATAACGCTGGAGTCACGACTGTGGTTACAGTTAATGTATTTTCTATACGGGTTTGTAGGGCACTGATCGAGGGCAGCTTCTGTCCCATTACACCTCACGTCGGGGCTCCAGAATGGCCCTGTCCCCTCTCCAAATTTGGCCAAGGTTGAGATAGACAGGATGGTCCCACACATCAACTGTCTGCAGACGATGCTGGCAGCATTGGAATCCCAGACATCTCCGCACACAGATTTCCAAGTGGAGTTGTGGAATATCTCAACTCTCCCAGAGCACCTGTTCTTCCCGTTCACAAGTCTGACCGGCACAGGACCTGGTGGAGATCGACACAGTATTTTGGGAGAATAACTTGTGGCAAACCTAATCCGATTTGCTTCCTCCACCCACACCCCACTCCCATACCCCCTGCCTCCGCTTGGGTGGCTCCCGCCTCCTGTTCATCCCTCGTACCCTCAACTCCACTATCGATGGCCGTGCCTTCAGCCACTGTGCCCCCAAACCATGGAACACTCTTCCTCTATCCCTCCGCCTTGCCCCTTCCTTCCCCATCTTCAGGTCGTTCCTGAAGACCGAACTCTTCGATCAGTGCCTATGGTCACCTCCCTCCTCCCCTCCTGGCTTGAGTATCATGCTCCACCGCTGTCAAGCGTTCTGGGACGCTGCCCGGTGTGAGGGGGCGCTGTGCCCAATGCAAGTTGTTGTTGAGTGACCAGCTTGTCTGTAGGTGTAACCTGTGTTGAAACATTATGATATAGAGACCTGTTTACCTGAGCAAACCACAGCAGCGTCCGTACCCAGCACACAGTTACTGTGTCCCCATGGCTGAGATCGGCATTGATCCAGGAACTTCTCATCCCCAGAGCACTTGACCTTATCCAGCCAGGTTTGTCCTTTCCCCCGGCCAAGGGAAAACCCTCCACCTGTTGACATGGCGTTGCCACAGCTCATCTGTCGACACACAACCCGAGCGTCCGCTATATCCCAGTCGTCGCCGCAGACTCTTCCCCAGACAGAGTTGTGAAAGACCTCGACTCTCCCAGAACACATGGTGTCTCCATCCACCAGTCGCATAGGATGTGGCCCTGGAACAAGAGACAGAACATCAGGTCGGAGCAAACTACAAGCACACGACCTGTCCCAATCCAATCCAACGCTGCAGCTCTCTAAGCCAGAGAGTTGTTGTGGCCTGGAATACACTGGAAGCAGGTTTGAGAATAGCTTTCAAAAAGGGAATTAGATAGGTACTTAAAAAGTCAAAATGTGCAGGGCTGTGGGATAAGAGCGGGGGAGTGGGGCTAGTTGGGGTAAGAGTGGGGGGAGTGGGGCTAGTTGGTGTAAAAGTAGGGGGAGTGGGGCTGGTTGAGGTAAGAGCGGGGGGGTGGGACTAGTTGGTGTAAGAGCGGGGGGAATGGAGCTAGTTGGTGTAAGAGCGGGGGGAGTGGGGCTAGTTGGTGTAAGAGCGGGGGGAGTGTGAACTGGTTGGAATAAGAGTGGGATGCGTTGGGGTAAGAGTGGGGGGAGTGGGCTAGTTGGTGTAAGAGCGGGGGAGTGGGGGCTAGTTGGGATAAGAGTGGGGGGAGTGGGGGGAGTGGGGCTAGTTGGGATAAGAGTGGGGGGAGTGGGGCTAGTTGGGATAAGAGTGGGGGGAGTGGGGCTAGTTGGGATAAGAGTGGGGGGAGTGGGGCTAGTTGGGATAAGAGTGGGGGGAGTGGGGCTAGTTGGGATAAGAGTGGGGGGAGTGGGGCTAGTTGGGATAAGAGTGGGGGGAGTGGGGCTAGTTGGTGGTTCTTTCAAAGATCCGGCTCAGGCACGATGGCCTGAACGAACTCCGTCTGTGCTGTAAGATTCTATGACACTACGATAGTCTTACCTGTGCAGGCAACGCCAATGTCCTGACTGTGGCCACAGGTAGTATTTCCGTACGGTTTTGCCGGGCACAGATCGAGGGCAGTCTCTGCGCCCTCACACCTCACGTCAGACAGCCAGACCGGCCCAGTCCCCTGTCCGAAGGTGGCGTTCCCTATGGCTGACGTGCCATTTCCACAGTTCAACAGTCTGCAGACGACATTGGCCTCCTCCGTACCCCAGTGATCCCCACACACACTTCCCCAAGTGGAGTTGTGCAACACCTCGACTCTCCCGGAGCACATGTTGTTGCCGTTCACCAGTCTGACCGGCACAGGACCTGGGAGAGAGGGAGAGATACCAAGTTACCGTGAAGCACAATGACTCTTATGATGCAAACACAAAGGCTAATCTACATAATAATCATAATAATAATCATCATCATCCTTGCATTATTATTATGTAGACTATCTTATCTCAGCTTATTATAATAATAGTAACCTGTAGCTCAATGGTTAGAGCACTCACCTCGGAAGTGAGAGGATCGGAGTTCGATTCCCGGCAGGGAGAAACGCTGGACAAGTTTCCTTACTCCACACTCCTCTGATTACCCTATTTAGAGCAGAGTAGGAGAGGGGGATAGAGGGGTGTGGGAGAGGGGGATAGAGGGGTGTGGGAGAGGGGGATAGAGGAGTGTGGGAGTGGGGGTGTGTAATATAAACACCACCACGAGTTGGGCTGAATGGTCTGTTTCGGTGCCGTTTAAGGAGAAATCAGGAAGACTGGACGGGAATGTTTTTCACTCTGAGAATTTTCAATCAGTAATTCAATCGTAGAATAAAATCGCTCCTTACCTGAGCAGGTAACGCTGGCGTCCTGACTGTGGCTACAGTTGTTGTTTCCATACGGTTTTGCCGGGCACTGATCGAGGGCGGCCTCTGATCCCTCACACCTCACGTCAGACAGCCAGACCGGCCCAGTCCCCTGTCCGAAGGTGGCGTTCCCTGTCGCTGACGTGGCCTCTCCACAGTTCAACAGTCTGCAGACGACATTGGCCTCCTCCGTACCCCAGTGATCCCCACACACGCTTCCCCAAGTGGAGTTGTGGAGCACCTCGACTCTCCCGGAGCACATGTTGAGACCATCGGTCAATCTGATCGGCACAGGACCTGGAGTCAATGAGCAAAGAATGAGGCACTCTCATGGGAGCTAACTGTTGTCAGCCTGGCTCAGTGGGTTGCCCTTTTACCCCTGAGCCAACAGTAGGTGACCCAAGTCCTACATCAGAAGAATAATCAGATAATCCTTGCATTTGATACAGGGCCTTATCGTGTCTTCGTGGCGTCTCAAAGCGCTTCACTGAATACACTGTAAAGTCATTCGACCGTATGTTTTGTTGTCAAAACGCGGCAGCCAATTGGGCACAGCAGCGTCCCACAAACTTCCGTGCATTGATTGACCAATTTATTATTATTTATTTGAGATATCTTATTGATCTCAAAGACACAAGTCCAATTGCAAGGATTATTATTATTTTGTTTGGTCAACCAAGGTCCCATCTGAATACAGCTCCGAAACACAAATCAAAATCGTTCCTTACCTGAGCAGGTAACGCTGGCGTCCTGACTGTGGTGACAGTTGTTGTTTCCATACGGCTTTGCCGGGCACTGATCGAGGGCGGCCTCTGTCCCATTACACCTCACGTCAGACAGCCAGACCGGCCCAGTCCCCTGTCCGAAGTTTGCGTTCCCTGTCGCTGACGTGGCCACTCCACAGTTCAACAGTCTGCAGACGACATTGGCCTCCTCCGTACCCCAGTGATCCCCACACACACTTCCCCAAGTGGAGTTGTGCAACACCTCGACTCTCCCGGAGCACATGTTGTTCCCGTTCACCAGTCTGACCGGCACAGGACCTGGGAGAGAGGGAGAGATACCAAGTTACCGTGAAGCACAATGACTCTTATGATGCAAACACAAAGGCTAATCTACATAATAATAATCATAATCATCATCATCCTTGCATTATTATTATGTAGACTATCTTATCTCAGCTTATTATAATAATAGTTACCTGTAGCTCAGTGGTTAGAGCACTCGCCTCGGACGTGAGAGGATCGGAGTTCGATTCCCGGCAGGGAGAAACGTTGGACAAGTTTCCTTACTCCATACTCCTCTGATTACCCTATTTAGAGCAGAGTAGGAGAGGGGAATAGAGGGATGTGGGAGAGGGGGATAGAGGGGTGTGGGCGAGGGGGATAGAGGGGTGTGGGAGAGGGGGATAGAGGGGTGTGGGAGAGGGGGATAGAGGGGTGTGGGAGAGGGGGATAGAGGGATGTGGGACAGGGGGATAGAGGGATGTGGGACAGGGGGATAGAGGGGTGTGGGCGAGGGGGATAGAGGGGTGTGGGAGAGGGGGATAGAGGGGTGTGGGAGAGGGGGATAGAGGGGTGTGGGAGAGGGGGATAGAGGGGCGGGAGAGGGGGATAGAGGAGACCGTCACAGAGGGTGGGGGGGGGTCCATTCCGACATCCCATTGCCAGGCAATGTCACCTTGGGGCCAGTTCAGCCCCAACGAGACCCTGCTTCGGTTTGAGTCCGTTGGCTCGTGTTTTTCTGCTGCTTCGGACGAGATGGGGAATGATGTCCTCGCCTGATCTCGGCTGTTTCCGAGGCTCTCACCGCAGGGAACGAGTCGGGACACACGCGCGTAGCATCTCTTTGGCGTCGGCTGTTGAAATACGTCAAGGCCAGAGGATGGCCAGAGGAGGAGGGGGTGGGGGGGGGGGGAGAAGATGGGAACCTTCCTGTAACCTGCCAACCTCCATGTCCATCCACGGCCTCCGTTACACTGCGCGTCCGTCCACACTCCCAGGTCAGGGTTAGAGACGCAGTAAAGCTCCCTCTACAACTGTGCGTCCGTCCACACTCCCTCCCACCCTCCTCGTTCACGATCATCTCTGTGCTATATACCCAGAACCCCCCCAACTCTCCTCTTCCCCCTTCCCCACTCCCGCTCCTGCCCTAAAGTGCCCACGTGCCCACCCGCCCCATGTGAAAGTGCAAATTATTTTGTTGCTGTAGATTGAGAGCAGAACTGCCCTCTCTGGGACACGATCACACGGTAAATCCACACTAACTCACCACTTGGTAACACGGGGTGGGTGGGTGGGGGTGGGGGGGCGGCCTGTGAGTGTGGTGGGGTGGGGGGGCGGCCTGTGAGTGTGG